TCCTCGGCGCCCTCTGGTGGGCAAGCCTCTGGATCCCAACAAACACGGCTAATGTCTAGATGTAATCCTCTGGGATTTTTTAGATTAAACAATCTTTTTAACCAACTCGTCTAGATTAGTTGATTAAATAAACTTTATAAAGTGCCTTCATGTGAATTTCCAGCATATAAATTGACTGAATTGAGTAGAACTAAATACTGCAAGGCACAACTGCAAATATATTCATCCATAGCTATATACCTGAATTTGTCTGCAGAGGAAAATTAAAATTAACCAAAGAAGACTGGTAATTCTGGAGGAGGTGCGGAGATAATAATGGAGGAAGAGCAAGAAGAAAGCTCTTTTTGCAAGCAAGCCATAAGAAATCTGTTGAGCAGTTTGCCACAAGCCATGCAGGGATGCGGCAAAGGTGAGGAATAATGTCGTCTGGTCAGATGAGACCAAATCAGACTTAAGGGCTGGCATGTGAAACATAATTTAGGTGTAACATATAGTTTAACATTTTTTTTTTTTTTTTTTTTTTTTTGAACCTAATAAACACTGCAGGCCTGAACTAACAGCAACAGCTGTAAAGCATTTTTTTATATCTGCAATCAATCTTTTAGATGTTATTCCACCAAAATAATGCTGTATCCACCTCTTTGATTTGCATTGGGAATTAGTTGGAACACTTCCTAAACAATCGGGGAGATGCCAACAGAAACTGGCCGTCTGCATCATTATTCCTCTGAGTTTTGTGAGAAAGACTGGAAACAGAGAGCCAGCAGAGAATGAATGAACTTGATCTTCTCCTTCACAAAGTCGAGGACCAGCAAAGACACCCCACAGCTGGGGGGCTGTTTCCCAAAGAGAATACATCAAGTCCGCCTCTCAGCCTCACTGTGACTGAAATCACTTCTCCTCCTCAATATGGAGATAAATACAGGTAATTTGAGTATTGGTATTTTACATTATCCTTGATGTGAAGTCCTCCTAAACTATATTTGTGCTTTGAGTGTTATCTATAAGGTTATGACAAACTTAATTTTGATAAGAGTAACCTTACTGTATATAGTCTCTATTAATGAGTTTCCTGATGTCTGTTAGCTGTTAGTTTCTTTGTGTACAACACAGCTTATTACAATATTCATTTGGTTTACTCCATTATCAGTAGGTTAGGTGTTGCTAGTGTATTTATGCACGTTAATGTTACTATTAATGATGACTGATGGTCATTAAACTACCTATAGGCTACCAGCATGTTAGCTACCTGTTAACCCAGAAATGCTCTTTAATACTACACAACCCTGCTTGTTGCATCACCCTGGCATTAATAAAGCTTCCCTCGATTTCAAGCCTTTATATTTTACCCTCATATTTTAACCTACCTCATTCTTAAGTGATAATGGACTTTTGATGAGAGAAATACTTGTTTAAAATTCAAATTACCAAAATATTGTTGTATTTACGTCTTTGTTTTCAATTGAAAGACATTTCAGTTGTTCTAATACATTTATAAAGCTAATTTAACCTTATTCCAAATTATTTAAGATAACCCTTGGTTATCATATCTCAGTCCATACTGAGGTATGATAACATCATTGCATCATCTTGTTTACAGAGTAGCTTATGAGCTTTGTTAGCTCAGTTGAGAATGTTTAATTGTAATACTGTCATGATCTGGCCTGTTTGCTCTCCCTTAATTAGTCATTCCTTTCACCTGTCGTTTTTCCCTCCCTGCCTCAATTATCATTTATTCCCCTCACCTGTTTCCTGTTGGTTATATTCAGTTCAGCCTGAGCATTCAGTGCCAGATCATTACGTGTCTATCTGTTAGTCTGTCTGTTCAGTTTTATTTTATGGTTCTTGTCCTGGATCCTAGCAGCCAGTGGAAAGAGGGTTTTTGTGTTTGTCTCGTCTCCTGATCGTCCACTGTTCCTCCCCCGCGGAGTCCTCTGGGTTTTTGGCTCATTATGGGGGGAGGTTCAGTTTTTATCAAAGTAAGCCTGGCTCCAGGGAGGAGACCAGTTTAAAGTCCTGCTTCAAGTTCTGGTTCCTATGTCCTGTCTCGGCTACCCTCTTCCACTGAGCCTGCCTGTCTGCACCTAGTCCTGTCTGCTCCTGTGCGTGACCAACTGGTCATGCTTCTGGTCCCAGTCAGACTCTGAACCCTCCTGGGAGCCTGTGGATGCCTGGAAGTCTGGATCCTGCCACCTGTTTCTGTTCCTGCCTGATCTGGATCCTGCCTGTTCCTGTCTGTTCTGGATCCCTCACCAGGATCGGCTTCCAGCATAACCTCTGGGACTGCAGCACTGGGACATTGTTGGTCTGGACTGTTAAACCAGGTAAGTGACCAACCCAGGTAATCCTCTATCAGATGATCATGGTCACTTACCTGTGTTTCTCCCACTATAGAATGTCTGAGATTGGGCAGTGGCCCGGCCCCCCGCCTGCAGTGTCCGTGAGCCACAGCTCCGCTTTTGTTTTGTTTATTTAATAAACGTTTTGAACTTTCCTACTGACTGTCTCTCCTTTAATACTGGGTCCATCTGTCCGCGGTTCCTGACAAATACATTTAACCTAGAGTTGAATTAGTTATTTGAATAAATTCTCATGTTTGCAATGAGAGTTGTGAATTGTTTATTCGAGTTCACTCACACGACAAAATAGGACACACCAAAAGTTAGTTGATTAAGAATTCAACAACATCAATGCATTTGAAAGCAAAATATGTATTGTAAGAATAATGACAGACCTTAAGGCTTTAACAATGACCTAAACATCAAGAAACACTCTTAAAAACATGGATCCAAATAAAAAAAATAAAAATAAAAAAAACACCTCAACTTTGTGAAAATCAATATTTGGGGGTAATGGTAGTTTGAGATGTAGAGGTTAGCCATTTGTTGTTGGCTCAAGCCCCAGCTCCCCTCCATGGTTGTTGCCAGTGGTATGTCAGCCCGTTTAAATTGGGTAAAAAAAACTGAATTTAAGCATTCTGAGAAATTCAAATTTTTTTTTTTTTTTTTGCAATTTTCTGTTCTCAAAAAAAATCATTAAAATCAAAATAATTCTCAAGAATTTCACCCTGATTCTGAAAATTCTTACTGTGTGTTTTTGCAGAGGTCAATCAGTGTGTGCACCCTAACTAGAACGACAAAGTGTATGTGTACAAATTGTGTAAAGGGTCTGCATTAGCCCCTCTATTGACAGGTCCAGGGGGCGGTGAGTCATGTGAGGCTGATGGCCATCAGGTTACGCATACTGCCTCTGCTGTAACTTTGGTCAAAATCTCTTACTCAACAGGTCAAGTGAAGGGCTGATTTCTCTGAATGATGGAAAAGTACTGAACGTATGTCGGGCAGTGGGCCAAATCAAATATTTTTTAATGAGTAAACTAAAATCATCAAGTTGATTATAGTTCAATTCCCATGTAGATGTTAGATTTCATTATATATAATATATTTGTCTATATATAACATATAAACAAATATGTTTTTGTTTTTTTTTCTGGAACCAGAGCAGAATTCAGAAGGATTCCCTAACATAACAGACAACCTGTCTATTATCCTTGACAAGGTGACTAATAATACCAACAATGGCTTCTATTGAAGCTTCTATTGGGCTACAATATAAAAAAGGGTCCATAAAGTGACTTTGGTTGAGGACCAGCCAGCTTAAACATACTGGATCTTTTAACTAGATGCATAAATAATCCCTATTGAATTGTTTCTGACTCAGTTTCCCACTTTATTATTCAATCTTTCATGATATTTAGCTGATCCAAATGACTAAAAACAGACTTCAAACAAAAAGGCCTCCATGTCACTTTTTTTGTTGAGTCTAAGTACCTAAACATGATTACAGTAAGTAGATGCCAAAAATGGTTACATATTTGTTTTAGTGTACTGAAGGTTAAGGTTTCCAAGTTCTTTTAAAAGCCATCTATAAAGTATATGGTTGAACATACATCAGCTCAGAAAAAAATACACATCTATGTTAAAAAGGCATGTTTTATTGATTTCAAGCATAAATTAGATTTAAAAAAGTAACTATTGATTTATTTTTAGATTTAGAGTTGTAAGTCCATTAAGAGAAACAATGTTGGAAAAAAAATCAATGGTGGGATAAAAGAGATAAAACAGATTTAAAATGTATTTAAAAAATGATGTATTATTATGGAAAGCATTAAAAGTTGTGGCACAACCAAAATATAATCTTTGGCACACAAAAAAAAATTAATTAAAGGGTTTATAACTGTTTCGTCTGTGGTAACAATCTTTTCTGCAAAATACGGGTTTGAGGCTGATGGTTATAAAACAGACAACATCCTGGCGCCTGGCTTGGCCCCTGAGCATCGCATCAAGTGGAGCAGCTGCATTCTAACTTAAAATTTAGGAGAGCTAACTTATTTTTCAGCTCATTTTGACCAAGATAAATAATACTGCTTTAATCTGACACATTTACAGGGGTTGTATTGATTTTTATTGCACGTTTTTTAATAGGAGGCAAAAATAAATATAAAAAAATAACTGTCAAAATTTCTTCAGAAAAGAGAAATTTGCAACTATTTTTATTTCATCTTGAGGTTTGGCAAATGGCATAAAATATCAATTTCTTTTGTTCGAGTGCGAATAAATGAGGAACATGGTGTAGCTAACAGATGGTTAATAAAAAAGAGCAAGCCCACAAGCTAGACTGTGAGAGGGAGAAATCATTGGAAAGCAATACCACATGGACAATCAGTGTACACAGATTTTCTATCCACTTCTGTTTATCGGACAGCATCAGCACTCTGTTTGACGGAGTGGTGGATAAAGAGGAAGTCAATAAATCTTTGTCCATGTTCAGATCCCTTGCAAACAACAAGATCAGTCCTTGGTCTCAGTGGAAATTTGTCTGTTCTGCATTGTTCCCCAGGAAAAATCCAGTTTCCTCTCAGTGCAGATGAGTTTGCTATACTTTATTTTTAAAGCACACATTTAAAGAAAACCAATAAGGTTGAAAGTAAAACCATCAAATTTAAGATTTTTTTAAAACCGAGTCTTTATTTCATTTCAAACTGAGCCTAGTTAAAACAGCAATAGTGCATTAGAAGTTACTTTAATGTGTCAGTGGGTGCTGCGAATGCTGTGTCTGCAGATGTTTTGGTCCTTAATTCATCACTTAAAACAGTCAATGGGAGAATATCAATCATGATGGAGAAAGACATTAACCAACCAAGACAGATGACAGATAACACCGAATGTTTAATGGTGACAGACGGATTAATGGAAGCACATTTCTGTTACTTGTAGATAGGTCTGTTGTCTTATTCACCCCCTCTACTTCTCATTTATTCAGTCCGCTTAATATCACAGTAGTAATTGCTGTTAAGGATGATGGATGAATGTCCTGAAGCCGCTGAGGCTCACTCAAACTATGGCAGGTCTACCCGTCGCACCGGTCTCTACGCAGCTGCGGGGTTGCTGATCTTCCCTGCGAAGATGATACTCCTCGTCGAGTGCTCGATAATGAAGACCAGGAAGGGTCGGTTGAGATTCATCTCCATGGGCAGACTCATTGGCATGATCTCTATGGTGCTGACAGCGGCGGCTTCCGTGCCTGTTTCATCCACTCTCAGCTCAGCCTGATGCGAGACCTGCAGGGGGAAAGGAAACCTTTAAAGCTGTGTTCTGATTTATAATGTTTTTCTGTTCGGTATGTTTTTTTATTAACTGTTTATCCAATATGGCGCATGAGCTACCTTTGAGACTTTAAGCTTGATCTCATCAGATATGCCAGAGAAATCAGCGTTATCACTGTAAGCCTCTGTCACTCCCATTTCCTTCAGAACATCGTCCAGTGGAGTGGAGACAGAGATGGAGAATTTGGGCATTCGAAGGTTCAGGTTGCTGTGGGGAAAACAACAACAACAATCAGTCATACAAAACAAGGTATTCCATCATACATCGCCTATTGAAGATAATCAACACCATGTTTCATATTTCCAAGAAAAACTGAAGACATTGATTGGATTCTTACTTCTTGTAGAGACTGTCATGCCAGTGTCTCAAGTGGTTCTTGCTAATGAAGCCCTCAACTTCCTCCATCTTGTTTTCATCAGGCAAAACAATCATCATGGAGGTATTGCCCTTGTAGGGAAGAGAGACGATGGTGCTGTGGTTGCCGTCATCATGGTAGTAATCAAAGCGCCCAATCTTCTTCATCATGTCCACTTCAACCTTGGTGTTTTCATCCACATGGAACTCTGCCTTTGCTGTATGGTTTTTGTTGAAGGGCTTCTCCCATTGTCCTGTGTGATGCAACAGATGTACATGGGAGTAGTTACAATATTTTAGAGTACTTTTACTCTCATGGATTTGGATTTGCATGATTGTTTGTTTTGTGTGTCTCTGGATTGCCCTATAACAGACTGGTTTCCAATGGTTACCCTGCCTTCTGGCCCATAACCAATGAAGTTAGTCCCTTACCCCACCATGACCTGTAGTCTCGTTTCACAATCATCATTCACAAATGGAAACTGATATGCAGACTTACCTCTAAAGTAGACGTAGTTGATCAGCATCATGGCTGTTTCAGGGTCCAAGTCCTTTACCATATCCTTAATCATATCGTTTGTTTTTGAAGCAATGTGACTGTTGATCTGAGCCGCAGCCTCAGAGGGATTGGAGAAGTCAACGTTGAATACTTCCCCACTATAGTTAGTCTTAATGTCATTCAGGAATGTCTGCAAAGGGTTGAAACCAGTGCGCACTGCAACAGAGTCCCCAAGATCCAGCTTCTGCTCCTGCTGGCTCTGGCCAAGCATTTGGAAAAGATGGTTGTAGGCTTCGTTGACCCGTGCCTGGTCCAAGCTGCTGTAGCCCAGGGTGGTGAACAGCTGTTCATGGGTCTTGCCCCGGGCTCCTACGGACAGCATGGATAGAGCAGAGGAGAGGCCCAGAGGGGACATGAAGATGTTCTTTCCAGAACCGGCTCTGCGATTCACATGTTTGTAGAGGGCAAAGGCAAAGTCGGCATTAAGAGGGGAAAGAACATGGCAGCTCATGTTGTCTTCATGGCTGTGGTGGTGGTGGAGGTGGTGATCAGCATGGACCACAGCCAGCAGCAGGACTGCCAGAGCACAACAAGCAACAAAGCTACGCATCTTAGAACCTGGGAGAGATAAAGCAAGTCAGTTACATTACACACATAGAAAGAAGAAGCTGTTGTTTCTGAGTAGAAACATTAATCCAATTAACAAGGAAGTCATTTATCAATATCATTGTCAACAGTAAGACAATACAAGAATCAACCAAAGCAGACCAAAAGGTGCCTTTATGATTACTCTAGTTGCTATGGTGATAATAAAACTCCTCACCATAAAATAATTTGCTTACCTTTACTGGCTTCTGTGCTGCAGAAGGCTCATGAGATAATTCCAGCTTTTATAGAGGGGCTCAGAAAAACAGCTGACAGTTTGGTTAAATATTTACTAGAAATCAGTCTGCCCAGTCTCTGTCCTTTGCTATCTGACTGATGCAACACAGCAGATAAGGAGCAGGTCTCAATGTTTCAATGCTGATACATACATAGTCTACAGTGATATACAATATGTGTATATAAAACGAATTAAAGTTTATATTTAAAGTCTTGTTGCTTTCTTTGGAACCAAATCATTGAGTATTATAACTCTTAGTGGAAAGTTGGGAACTTGCCACATAACCATGTCACAAAGTGACAGAAGCTGCCTTTTATTTAGACTGTTGTGGCTCATTAGGGCATCTATTTGTGTTTTGATGCAGTTCCTTGCGAAAGTATTTGCCCCCTTGAACTTTGACCTTTTGCCACAATCTCAGGCTTCAAATGTAAAGATATAAAATTGTAATTCTTTGTGAAAAATCAATGATAAGTGGGACAAAATCATGAAGCAGGAACTGTTAGGTTTATTGAACTGAGTTTATTGGATATTTTAAACTTGTTCAACAAATAAAAACCCGGCAGCCATTTTTTCTTTGATTTTATTTTTTTTTTTTGACTGAAACTACTTTTTTGAAATAGAAAGATTAAAGCTACAGTGTGTAATAATTACAGGGATATACAGTCAGAATTGTAATATATTATACATAACTATGTTATTTATCATGATCTACGAGCTCAGCCTCTTAACCTTAATATTTGCGTTGCCTTAGAATTCGTTATTTATAATTACATAGGAGCGGGTCTCGCAGCCACGGAGGCAGACATCTTTGCGCTACGGCAGCGCAGAGCCAACAAACTAGCGATTGAGAGATCGCCCATTACGCTCGAAAGTAACTACGGCAAGTTGAGAGAGATGAACTGAGACGGTACTGAACTGAAATACTATCTGTAAAATTATCTATGTAAACAAACCTCATCACTTGAGAAGGTAGGTGATGCGGACGTCGTGGAAGACATTTTGTCCCGTAACGCTCGTCGTACTGTTGGGGGGGAGAAGCGGTGGGGGGGAGATGTTCATGTTGCTGCGGTCTGCAGTCTGGACGTTAGATGTCGCTGAAAATTACACACTTAAGCTTTAAGACACAAATGTCCTACCCATGTAAGGCCCAAAGATTACTTCGATCAAAGAGAACAATTTCAGCTAAATGCAATTTATTATAATTTATTATTATTTATTTGCATTCAAAAACTATTTTCTAGGATTGAAAACGTTTATCTGTTTAGTGAAGTGATTTTTTTTTTATTGATTTGGTTGTTGTTTGTTTGAACCAACTTTTTTTTTGACTGAATGATAAAGATACAAATGTCCTATCCATTATATTGTCCAACCAAAAAAACTATGTTACTTCAATTAAAAAAGTTCCTTTAAACAAAAAAAAAAAAGGACTTCTATCAAGGAAAACATTTTTAATCAAAGGTGTTCTACAGACTCCAGCAGGTTCTCCTCCAGAATGATCCTGTATTTGGCTCCATCCATCTTCTCATAAACTTTAACCATGTTCCCTGTTCCTGCTGAAAAAAGCAGGCCAAAACCATGATACTGTCACCATGTTTGACAGTAGGTATGGTGTGTTTAGGTTGATGATCTGTGTTAAATTTTACTCCAAACATAACGTTTCATCTGACCAGAGCAACTTCTCTCTGTCCTATGGACAGAGTTTCCCACCTCAGCTGTAGATCTCTGTAGTTCATCCAGAGTGATCATGGGCCTCTTGGCTGCATCTTTGTAGATTTGCAGTGGTCTTATACTCCTTCCATTTCATTATTCTCCCTTGCACAGTGCTCGTTGGGATGTTAAAGCTTAGGAAATATTTTATGTATCCAGATCCAGCTTTAAACTTTCCCACAACAATATATCTGGCCTGCCTGCTGTGTTCCTTGTTCCTCATGATGGTCTTTAAACAGACCTCTGAGACGATTACAGAGCAGGTGCATTTATACGGAGACTTGATTCATTTACCTTAGCATTGAATCATTCAGTCCAACAATGCCCTCTAACGACCCCCTTTCAGAGACATAGACAGGTATCAGGTATTGCAGGTTAACAAAGAACCCAAACTACCCCCATTTCAAGGGGGCGGAGCTCTTCGTCCAGTTCAATTTGCATGTTTTCTATTGTTATTTCTGACTTTTTGAATTGAAAAAGCTTCCTGGATGGGAGGTGAAACATCTTCAAAGTTGGTAACAAAGTCCAATGGATTGTTTTATTTAGCTTTTTTGGAAATGTCATGACTTGACTCATGATGCATTACAAAAAAAAAAAAAAAACTTTTTCTCTCCCTATTCACAAAGTTAAATAAATAAAAACACAAAACAGTCTGGGATTTGTGGTGTGTTGGCATTTCTTTTTCAAATGGTGCCCTAGGTGAACTGCTCCTTCTGTGACCCCTAACTAGTTACAGCATAAGAAATCATTTTAGTTTATAAAGTAAGATAACTTCTCTTCTAGTTCAGCAGAATACGCATAACCTGCTTTATCCAACCTGCAGCAGCATGACCGGGGCATGCCATAGAAAACATTTTAGGACACAGCAAGCAATAGCTTGTAATATATATACTGGTCTTTACATTTGCCAGTTTCCAATGCAACCAGAGAATGGATAAATGGTTTCAGGCTCTTCATGAGTTCAGGCTGACTTTAGTCAATTGATCATAAAAGTCATTTTTTTATTTAGCCCAATTCTCACAGTCAGGCCAGTTTAGTCCCAGTTATCAGTAACCATGAGGCAGAATCAATAAATGACCGCTGATACAAACTGGGAAGTATTATGTTGATGGGAAGTGAGTTGATAATGGTGATGGCATAATGCTTGAAATTATTAAATAAAATTTGGCAACAAAGTCACAACTCTACTGTTAATTATGATTTACCAAATTAACAACACTAACTGGTTCAATTCACCTTAATGTGCATGTATGAAATTTATTTTAGAAACAGAAATAGAGTTAGAAAATAAAAGGGAAAATAAAACATCTGTCAAATGTTCCTTTTTTCTTTTAATATCCTCAGTGAAGATTTATGCCATGCTATAAGTTTGGCTCGTCCACAAAAGACTGCAATGAACAATAACCCAGGTTGTCTCTCTAATGAAAATATAAAAACCCTGAAAGAAAAAAACTAAAGCTGCAAGAAATTATATTTTATTCTTCTGAGCGTCCTGTTTCCTCTCTTGTATCTGAGCCCTAAAATCACAGCACTACACTGTGTAGCAGGGGATACATTATATTTGGAGTTTTTACAATTATTTTTTACAATCATCTGAAAAATATGGGACACTTGAGCTGTCTGAGAAAGATCGTTTGAGCGCCCAAGTCAGGTAATTGATGTAAAGAAGCTACAAAATGATGAAACCAGTCATTTCCACATAGATGGTTTACAAGGGGAGAATATTTAAAAGGAGTAACCCAAGGTAGTTCAGCATGAAAGGAGATTGCAAGATGCCAAAATAAGTCTCCAAAAACCCTGAAATATTATTATGAGACTTACAGAACTTTGTCCTTATTGTTTATGCTTAACTGACAAATGCCATCGGAAAAGTTTCAGTTTCATTTGATTCATGAATTCTCATTAAAGACGGGAAGGCAGAGCAGAAGTCTGCCAGAGAACATGTAGTTAAAGACCATCACATCGGGAAAATTAGGACCTGTACAAAGAAATCAATAATATAATTATCTGGTCTCCACAGGAAATATTTGCGCTGAATTTTACATTAAAATGCATAAGCAGGAGTATAAGAAAGGGGGTTTCCCAACAGGCCTGAAACTGCTGGTGAAGTGGAGATAGATGAAGCAGGTTCAGTCCATAGATGGCTGGTTTGCGAGACAGTGTGCTTGAGCTGTATTGGTGAGATCCAGTAGACAACGTGAGCTGATACTAGAGCTTCACTTAGGGACAGGAAGATAGAGGTCTAGCTTGGATAACACAGGTTGCATAAACCTGTCCATGATAAGCAAGCATGAAGCGACAGTGGGGACGAAAAACACCCCATTGGAGAGAAACCTCTGGCTGAACCAGGCTCAACATGGCGGCCTTCGACCGGTTGAGATGAGACGTGGAATGCAGTAAGAGTCCGGGAGGGATTACTCACTGATAGCGATGTAGTAGAAGAAGCACCTTGGAAAAGTCAGATGAAGCTTTTAGCTACGATGGTGGAGAAGGGGATGAAAGTGGGTTGAATCAGGGGCATCTGAATCAAAGTCAGACATAGTGCAAACACTGCCTGCGCTTCGGATGGAGTTGTGGATTTGGAGACCCTTTAAGAGGAACTCTTGATGCTGATTGGGCTTCGTGGAGGTGTGGTTCAAAGCTGATTGGCTTGTGTCAGAGGCGGTTGAGGGTAAATAATCAGCTTCTTTAGTTTAACTTCTGCCTAGGCTTTGTAAAGAAGTGGACCCTGCTAGAATAAATGACATGAAACCAACTACTAAGTTATAAAAGTACTGGCTGTGAATAAGAGAAAAGCCTAAGGACTTAAAGCCCAGAACTTGATCTTGATCTCTCTGGACTTTTCTATAAGTGATTATGAAGACCAAAAAGACTAAAAGGAGCATATTTTTCATTCATTTTAAACAAAAGCATATAGCACTTGCTTTTAAAAGTGGGGGTATCCTACATATGTTTAGTTTAATTATTTTTTTTTCTTTTTTTGTTGCTGTTTTCTGTTGTTTAAGTCCAATAAATTATTATCCAGATGACTTAAAAATTAGCTTAGATACCAGTATGTGAACATTTCATATTAACTCACTGAATAATTTATGGGGGTGTTTATTTTTTCACATGACCATACGTTAAATAAGATATTTTGGAGCGTTTGGACATCTATGTATATAGCATCTTTATTAAGCAGCAGCCACAACATGCTTTACAGTGAAAATACAATTACAGGAAATCTCTATATTGTCTGTGATGGAGAGAAAATGGTATTTGAAATAATTTATTTCAGTTAGGGGATGAAGTTTTGAACTAATTTAATAGTGTTTTAAAATGTTCAGATGAAAACTTTACAGGCACTTTGAAAGACCAGAGAGAAATGATAAAATAAGTTGGAAATGGGGGCGTTTGCCTCAGTTTGCACATGTAGGCAGACCCTGAATCAGGAACCGGTGCCTTATGGCTCTTGATCCACAGTCTTTCCATGAATCAGTGAAAAGCCTCGCTGATTAATAGGCCGACATTTGTGTTAGTTATGATGGATCTGCCGTCCTTTTCATCCAAACTATCCTCTATTCATCATCTCTTCAGGGAGGTAAATATCAATGCAGCGTTGCCACATGGCTGCCTGACTGAGGCAAAAAGCTGCAGGAAGCCACTAAAATGTGACACTATTTCAGCAGCCTTTGCTGTTTTGTGTCGGCGAATGAGCCTAGATAGACTTGCAAAGCAATTTCCCGATAATTGCCTAAGAAGATAAAGAGATGTTAAGGGAGGAAATGGGTTTCAGAGTGGAAAAAGACAACAGAGAAAATGCTTTTGTAATGGAAGAAAGAATGTTTTATGTTTTTACCAGATAGCAGTGATTCAGTCACAGGGATAAATTGCAGCCATTTGAATGTCTTTTCATCATTTTGTGAGAATAGAGAATTAAACCATGAATCTTCTCATAATGTTTGAAAATCAATATGCGCTCACTTCTCTGAACTCACTAGATTTGTTACTTTATCCTCTTATGACATGCAGCACTGCTGAAAGTCAAACTATCCTGTTTGGTAGGTAAACACAGAAAAACAAAGACAGAGAGCAGAGGGCATTGTCTTGTATCTAGACATCTGTGGGATCAGTAATCCTGCTGATGAGCAGCACAAGCCCAGTCAGATAATCATAAATGATTAGTATAAACGGTCGGTCAAAGGTGATCCTTTGGGGAACACTGAAATCAAGCGGAACGTCCATTTTAGCCATCTCTCTGGAACCGGACTCTTCCACCTCCAGCATGACCTCATGAAGAGCCTGGAAGCAAAGCAACACAAAGCGCATCTCTTTAATAGGGTGAGTTTATCATAACATATTTAAATTCCATGATGAACTCTCCTGCACCTCATTGAGCTTCAGTTTCCTCATCTCTTGTGTCCAGGAGACGTTGCCTGCATGCAAGGAAAGCGACGAAATCCCAGCCTTTCTCAGGATACTCTCCAAATTATACGATTTTCTCAGCTGGAACTTTGGAAAACGGATCTCTGCCCTCCTGTGAAAACAACAATCAAAGTGTTAATGGATCCGCCGGTAGAGGTCTTGTTACAAGTCGTGCAAGTGGTACTGATTGCTTTAACAGGCTTATGCAGAGAAAAGAGTAATTAATGCTCATTTAAAATGGTCTCGGCTTCATTCATCATGCCTTTGGGGGGGCAGACAACTGACTCCTTGAGACTAAAGAAATTTCACCCACTTCAACTGCTGAGATGAAAGAGCTGTGTTTATTTTTTCAGCATGTTACTGGTAGCACTAGATATATAAGGGATGTTGAGGCTACTGAGACCCTTCTGGTGGTTAAGTGACGCAGCAAATTAAATCACCAGGAGATTTACAAGTACAAATTATGCTACTTTCATACCCTTTGTCTTGTATGACATGTTCAAAAGTCCAAAAACTGGGTTTCTAATAACTAAATGAAGAGGGTATTGTAGAAAATCAAGTCCTTTCAAGTCTGGAAATTAAAATGTGTCTGGGAAGCTTGTTCTGACGAGTTATTCTCTCTTTTATGATATTTTATTCACATTTAAGAATCAAGTGGCCTTTTGCGAATGAAGTCTGAATTTTAAAGGAGGTCAAGATAGCTGGTAATTAAACTAATAAGAAAATGGGTCATGACATCATTTTCACTTGCAGTTCCAAGCTTCCAAAGTGAAAAGGTGAGATAACCTTTATAAATGCATTCAGCTCTGGCTGGGAGGAGATTAAGTAATATTATTGGGTCATTGCTGTGAGATTTGAGTCAAATATGTCTCATTTCAACATCCTGGAGAGAAATATCAGCTGTGCTGCTGCCATCAACACCTTTGTTTGAAATCGGCCTGTTTTCTAGTGTAGTCCTGTTTCTCTGACTGTGACTGGCTGGATATGCTCTCTTCGTCCTCTGGCATGGGAGCTGGCTCGGAGCTTGTCTGCCTGGCTGTGTGTTTCCTGGACGGGGCCGCCTTTTACAGCTGCTTTTTGTATCTCTGCTTCTGTCTCCTTGAACCCCAGTCAGCCTCGGCAAATGGCTGCTCACACCTGGTTCTGCTGGAGGTTTCTTCCTGTTAAAAGGGAGTTTTTCCTCTCCACTTCACTGTCGCATGTTGCAAGCATGCTCAGTGTGAGGGATTGCCTTCGAGTCAATGAGTCGATGCAATCAACTGGTTTTCTCTAGATAGAACACTTTGAATTAATCTGACTGTATGATCTGGTGAACTGTAAAGTGCTTTGAGATGACATGTGTTGTGAATTGGCGCTATAGAAATACACTGAATTAAATTGAATTTCTTTAACTGTGGAGAACCTGTGAATGCATAATTACACAGGAATAAAGGTTGATTTTTGGCTTGACCCAATTTAGCATCACCTCTCCACACAGCCTGAATCTTCAACATTTGCGCCTAGGAAAATAAGTAAATATGAAGAAATATGATCCAAGGGGGAGTGTTGGCTTAGTGGTCAGAGCAGTGTGCTTGTGCTCTGAGAAGGTTAAAAGTACCGGGTTTGATCCCCGCAGCCTCCACTCTGGGTTCCTGAGCAAGACCCCTAACCCCACACTGCTCCCCTGGGCACCGCACAATGGCAACCCACTGCTCCCAAAGGGGATGGGTTAAATGCAGAGGTACATTTCTCCAGTTTGAGATTAATAAAGTTCAACAGCTTTCTACTTGTACTGTTGTGTAAGATTACAGTCTGTGCCCTACACTCACCCATAGATTCAGGCAGAGTAATAGGTACGGAGGGGGGAAGCTGCAGAGAGAATATAATGCTGCAAATGCTGTGTCGCTAATATTCTGCATACAGTCACATGAGTCTTATAGTAATACTGAACTCATTATCCCATGCAATATGTTTATATCAAGTACAATAATAAAGCAGTTTAGACTCAGCCATTATTTGTTGCTGTTTATCTGAAAAAATTGAAAAAATCAACAATGAAGCAAATAGTTATCCATAAAATCAGCTGAGTCACTTCCTTTTTTGTATCCTAATATCTCGTACATAAGTAGTTTATAAAACTTTTCCTTTTCATTAGAACTATAGATAGCGTATTCAGTGTATGCAACTCTAAAGTATGAAATGCATAACGAGCAGAAACTGTTTATGAAAAACAGCAGACTGGAATGAAAAACTGCATCTCCAAGAGGGTTGATAAAGTAACCCAACAATCCTTTTAGTAACTTATTGAATTCCTCTTTTTTTCATTTTTTTATTTTCTCAGAACTACATTTCTGTCTGTGAAATCAGTTGCATCTGCTGATGTTGGCCTTTCCCCTCTTCCTTCTCTAACAATACAGGAACAATAAAAAGAAAAAACACCTGAAAAATTTCTTGGATGTTTTTTCTGTCCTTGGCAGAAACATACACAATTATATATAACAAATAAATGTATTTAAAAAACAAGAATGTAATTGCAAGCGTGTGGGGAGTGGGCATAGGGGTACTGCTCCACACTGCTCCCCAAGCCCCGCACAATGGCAGCCCACTGCTCCCCAAAGGGATGGGTTAAATGCAGAAGTACATTTCTCCAATGTGAGATCAATAAAGTTCAATTATTATTATTATCAAAGCCCCCTAGCATTGTGAGGCCTTGTGGGTTTGCATTTTGCACAGCTTATACGATGGCTTTTTACAACAGTTTAGAGCATTATAGTGAGATCAATAATAAATGGTTTTGATTTTGTTTTATTTTGGAAAATATGTCTAAAAAGAGCTGCACTTGTCTTCACTCACTTCACCTTAATGCAATTAAATAAAAACCAGAGTACACAACAGTTGGACAAACCATCTTTAGAGAGAAACATAGTGGTGGCAGCATCATGCTGTGGGAATGCTTTTCATCAGAAGGGACTGGAATTCTTCTGGAAGTTAAAGGGGAAAGTGTTGGATCAAAATGCAGGGCAATCCTGGCAGAGAATTCTGAGACAACAAAAGGAAACTAGAAACAGTGCTCTCTAAATTACAGCGAGATAGAGAAATAAGAAATTTACTGTAAAATTAACCAAATCATTCTCAGTTATCACCTGGAATAAAAATAACATTCCCTAAAAACAATTATAAATGTTCTCTCTATCAACAACGTCTTTATCAAGTTGTTCTCCTTTGGAACCTAGAGGTACGCTGCTGAACTACTTCGGTGTCGTGTAAAGACTGTGTTTACTTCCTGGTTTCTGAGCCAATCATGCGAGAGTTCCCAGGTGTTGCAAAAACAGAGCAAAGCATTTGTTGGCAAAAGAGCAACAGCCTGCAAACATGGAAGCCGGCAAGAGAAGATGACCCAAAACTAGCCTCAACAATACTTAAGAAGCCTCAGCCTCCCTCAGAAGTATTCCAACCATATTACTTTCACTCATCATGAATCCAGCTGCGCTACATCCTCATATATCTTGACTGGATAACACTGTTCCAGTTTGAAACTCTAGATGTAATTATGATTGCTCATTTAAAGCATTGTGATGTGTTAGAATAGCTGAGTGAGAATCCGTACCATTAGCCAACTGACAATCTGCAGCAAGACATCAAAGTTGATCTTAACAGATGCTTCCCATTAGATCTAGTTGATGAGAGCATGTTTACAGAGAACTGACTTTTTCATCTTTAGATCTCTGTTGCTAGAAGGTAAATACCACTTACAGACTAAAACTGGCTCCACAAAGTATTGCCACAAAACTTTGAAAGGCAAGTGCCATTCTTCTTTCTCCTTAGAACCAGGCATTACCCCCACCCCCGGCCCCGATCTGACCCGCTGCACCTACCCTGGCTTCAAGTTGCTGAGCCAAAACCTCATGCGGTGGTCAGAAAGGCAGTCCTCCAGCGGCTGAATCCCCCCTTTAGGCAGCAGCAGCAGCGAGGCCAGCCGCTCTGTGAAGGCCAGCCGCACCACGGTGGCTGAGCAGTTGGTGTCGTACAGCATCATCACCTCAGAGGAGTCATCCAGGAACATCATATCAACCTCCACAGAGGTCGTAGCATTGAGTTGGAAGCTCCGCAGCACTGTGTGGCGCCTTTCAAAAGGCTGCAGACCTGATTTATGGTTAATTAATAGGAAGAGCACGTTATGGATGAAATATGACAGTAAAATGGCAAAGGCAGAAGTTGCAGACCTATAAAAACATCCTGCTGTGTAGATTTATGACCACCAAATGTTATAGGAGGACATAAAAACAAGAGCTAATGAGAAAGCAGATGCTCCGTTGTTCTTTGTTCTTGCACACAGATACAATAAAGATAAATTGTCATACTTACTAACCATTATGTAAATTGTGTCAGAATCCTTTTGTTAACGTTTCCCTGAATTGTCTTTAAAATGGGTTTTCTCTTCTGTTTGAGGGATTTATACACATTTCAATAAAAGCAAGTTACTTTCCTTATTCAGTTTAAAATGTGAAACTCCAACATAGGAGCATTACACACAGAGTAAGCATTCATTTGGGTGATTCTGTTGATTCTGGCTCACATGAAGTGAAATGAAGACACTCTGAATAATATTAGAAAGTTTTAAGAATTTAGGTTTTTTTATAGGGCTGCAATTAACAATTAATCCATTAATCTGTTGATTAGTTTTTCGATTAATAGATTAACAATCGGATAGCCAAAGATTCCTTAAAGAAGTTTTTTTTTTTTTTATGAGATCAAACCATGTGAAACTAAAACCTTTCCATTTGAGGAGTCCTGGATAGAGCATAATGCCAGATAAAAAAAAAGTTGTTATCTTAAATGCAAATTGTTTACATATTTTTGTTCACAATTTTTGTATAATTACTGCTCTAAGTGGGGTCACTCTGTCAGCTAAAGGCATATTTTACAGTCTCTAGACTCCAATTAATGTTAAATCAATTACTAAAGTAGTTGACAATCATTTCAATAATTGATTAATTGCAATTAATCAGTTTAATTGTTTCAGCCCTAGTTTTATTTTACGTAAAGAAAGACCATGAACAGTGCTTTGCAGATGTGTAAATTTTGAGGCTATCTAATGGATGAATTACAGCATTCACGCAGCGCAGCATGATGGATGTGGTTCTTTGAGGAGCACAGTCATGTAATTGTCATTGGTCAGCAAACTGTGGTATGAAGTGGTTCTGTTAGATGGCTGAGCTGAGTTTTGATTTGAGAAAACACTGCAGACCAACATTATTAGATGACCAAGCTCTGCAAATCATCAATGTCAACTTCAAATTGGATCTAAAGCAGCTTGGATTCTTTCTCCAGTCTCTGGAGATTTGATTATCAAAGTGAATTCCGAGTTTCCTGTTTTGTTTGAAAACAAGATCCTGCATGGCTGAGCAACTACCCATTCCTTTTTCTTCTTTGCTTTAGATGACATATGGCATTGTTTTCTGTTTAGGAGAGGGTTAACACAAGCTGGATCTTGCATTTCCGACTCATAAATCTTCTCAAACTCTTCGAACAGCTTTGTTTTACTGTCCATTTGAGGCAGAACTTTTTCCTTCCACTAAATTTTCCATAAATATATATATATATATATATATATATATATATATATATATATATATATATATATATATATATATATATATATATATATATATATATATATATATATATATATATATATATATATATATATATATATATATATATATATAAAGACCATGTCTTTATATATATATATAGCAAAGACAGCTTGTGTCAATAAGTGTCTGCTGGACAACAATCAAGTCCACAGCTGTTTCTCCTTTATTTGAGGCCATAAATTGAAATTAAATCTCCCTATTAGAGATTTGGTTAAATGTAAGCCATCATCATCAGAACTGATAGAAATGAGTGCTTTAAATAGTATCACTCTGCGTGTAAAACATGCATGTAATCTATAACGAACCCTGCTATTCCTATTATTCCTACAGAACAAGTACAGTAGCTACCTTTAAAATACACAAAACTGTTGAGATTAAGTTTGTCTGAATCTCGCAGATCTGTCATCAGTGTCTCAAAGCTGGTGTTCAGCTCGGGTTGCTCAGGATGCTGCAGTTGGGATAAAAAGCCTTCAAAGTCTACAGAGGGTTTCCCATCGACATGAAGGTTGCTCCGTACTAGCAGCTGACTCCTCCCCTCTGCTCCATCATTTACATCAGAATCATTTCCTGCTTCGGCCCCCGATCCATTGCTACCCATAGGAGCTTCAACCACAGCCTCAGATTGCATCTTCTGGTAAACACCTTCACCCCCTCCCTCCCTTATGGTGAGGTTGTGTTGCAGATCTGCTAGAGCTGATAAGGTGGCCTCAAAGCTCTTCTGTGACGTTCTGTCCTCAACACCAAGGACCTGCAGGGCCCGCCTCCGACTCTCCGGATCAGAGGCTCGGCACAGCAGAGCCAGAGCTGATGCCAGCCCCAAAGGTGAGAACAAGATATTGTCCTGCTGCCCTACAGCACTTCTGGCCGTCAGGTCCTGGTATGGTTCAAAGGCCAGGGCCGTGTTGAGGGCTGATATGTTCAGCTGATTCTGCGGAATGGCCTTCACATCCCGTCGTACAGGCCTGGTGAAGAGCTTCTCAGGGTTTTGCAGAGCTGATGTGAGTCCCGAGGAGCCACTGAGCAATCCCAGAACAGCAATACAGGCTAGACTACACCACACCGGCATCTTAGCTTCTCCACTCACAACCCTGGCCCAATTGGGCAAAAGACAGGCCACTCTCCAGCTTTGGGGAAACAGTGTAGGATCGGTGCGGGGGTGGTTGTTGTTGAACGCATATTGATCTCTGGAGTGGAGATTTTGACCTTTGGGCTGATTTGAGCAAACAGTGGCAGCCTGTTTTTATTTTCTCAGAATTACACCAGCAAATAAATGTGCATTTAGCTGGACCCTGAGGACAGGTCACACTCATTCCCCTTGGTACCATTTACCAGTCAGCAGGAATTCTGGACAGTTATGCAAGCAATACATTCCTTTATTTTCATGAACTGTCCCTGCACAAATAGTTTTACTCCATTAGAGCCCATAAAGGTTTAAACATCTTTGCTGTTTATCACAAAATCATTCTAGATTCGATTAGGCAGACATATTTGTTGTTACCCCTGGTAGAGATGTGTAAAAATAAATCTATTCATCCAATTTCTGTGCTGCCCTAACAGTTCATCTAATCTTGTTAGGTGTCAGAGGAAGGCAGTGTGGGAGGAAAGAGAGCAGAACTTATCTCCTCCATCAGCTTGCAGCACTCATCTGACAACACTCTTCCCAAATTAACAATAGAGAATACCAATCATTTTGCACAATGATTCAGCAGCTGTAATAATGGCACAAAATGTAGAGCAAAATTAGAAAACTCTTAGACTCTTAACACTTTTTTAAAGGATTTTTCTTTTACTCAGACCTAACAAGTGAACTAAACAGGCTTCCTTGTGTGAACGAATCCTAAATTATGAAAGAGCAATGGGGCAGAACTGGGTTTTATTTGGTCTCACAGCAAAACAAAAGTCTGTAGATAGAATATAAAGGCTTTTTTCAGAGATTTGATGAGCTCAGACAAATATGTTTTAAAAAAAGACATAATTTATCCTGATCAAGAGTAAAATATGTTTTACAGGTTCATTTGAGTTTCAAACAAACATAAACTTTTTGCTCTGCGTGCGTCAGCCTTACCGGTCAGGCTGCAATAAATCAAGATTTTACTAAAACCATGCATAGGACACAAGAAGAAAAAATTCATATGTGCTCTTTAATAAAAAAAAAAAAAAAGGATTCATTGTAATGCTAGTGTTATTATCTTTTTTTAAAAATTCTAGACAATAATTGCTAGAAAATGGAAAGCAAACTTGCTAATGGTATCAGTAATTTATCCAGAGATTTTAAAGTGACTCTTGATCTATAAGTAGCTGTAATTTAATTTTAAGTTAATTGATCAGGTTTAGATGAAGCAAAAACAGCCAGAATCCAAGGTGGTATAAGCTTGAAGTTATAAACTGCTTAGGTTCACAAAAAAGTCCCTAGCCATGAAACAAAAGGCACAAAAGTGAGATTTTATTTAATTTACTGTGAAATCTTCATAACTTTCAGTTGAGCTGTTGCTTTTATCATGAGAAGAAGTCTGTACACTTAAGCTCTGCTGCTAAAAATGTAAAACCTGAGAGAATAGCAGTGAAAATGGTGACATTTATTTCTATAGTGCCGCGGGACACGTTTTTATCCAGCCTGTGTACCTTTGAAGTTAATTCACCGTGTTTCCATCACAACATAGAGATGACAGAGTGTGGCAGAACGTCTCAGAGGAAAAACTGTTTAAATTGCATTGTTTTAAAAAGTCATTAACTCAGCAGCAACTACAATAATGGATGGTCCACCTGAACAGTTCTGGATTTATTATATTGTTTCCACATGGTGACAAATGAGAGTAGCTCATCAAGTAAAGATGCTGCCTGAGTAACGAAGAGGTTCAGAGTTGGACCCCAGTGGATTCATATTGCTTCTTTTTTCAAGTTAGTCATTCAACTAAAACAGGTTTATTTCATGTTCCTTATAAATATCTGACTACAAAACTCATCCCAATATAATATAATATAATATAATATAATATAATATAATATAATATATACATATATATATATATATATATATATATATATATATATATATATATATACAGGTGCTGGTCATAAAATTAGAATATCATGAAAAAGTAGATTGATTTCAGTAATTCCATTTAAAAAGTGAAACTTGTATATTATATTCATACATTACATACAAACTCATATATTTCAGATGTTTATTTTGTTTAATTTTGATGATTACAAATGACAACAAATGAAAATCTGAAATTCATCATATCAGAAAATTAGAATATTGTGAAAAGGTTCAAAATTGATGGCCCCTGGTGCCACACTCTAATCAGCTAATTAACTCAAACCACCTGCAAAAGCCTTTAAATGGTCTTTCAGTCTAGTTCTATAGGCTACACAATCATGGGGAAGACTGCTGACTTGACAGTTGTCCAAAAGACGACCATCGACACCTTGCACAAGGAGGGCAAGACACAAAAGGTCATCGCTAAAGAGGCTGGCTGTTCACAGAGCTCAGTGTCCAAGCACATTAATAGAGAGGCGAAGGGAAGGAAAAGATGTGGTCGAAAAAAGTGTACAAGCAAGAGAGATAACCGCACCCTGGAGAGGATTGTGAAACAAAACCCATTCAAAAATGTGGGGGAGATTCACAAAGAGTGGACTGCAGCTGGAGTGAGTGCTTCAAGAACCACCACACACAGACGTATGAAAGACATGGGTTTCTGCTGTCGCATTCCTTGTGTCAAGCCACTCTTGAACCACAGACAGCGTCAGAAGCGTCTTGCCTGGGCTAAAGAGAAACAGGACTGGACTGCTGGTGAGTGGTCCAAAGTCATGTTCTCTGATGAAAGTAAATTTTGCATTTCCTTTGGAAATCAAGGTCCCAGAGTCTGGAGGAAAAGAAGAGAGGCACTTCATCCACTTTGCTTGAAGTCCAGTGTAAAGTTTCCACAGTCAGTGATGGTTTGGGGTGCCATGTCATCTGCTGGTGTTGGTCCATTGTGTTTTCTGAGGTCCAGGGTCAACGCAGCCACATACCAGGAAGTTTTAGAGCACTTCATGCTTCCTGCAGCTGACCAACTTTTTGGAGATGCAGATTTCATTTTCCAACAGGACTTGGCACCTGCACACAGTGCCAAAGCTACCAGTACCTGGTTGAAGGACCATGGTATCCCTGTTCTTAATTGGCCAGCAAACTCTCCTGACCTTAACCCCATAGAAAATCTATGGGGTATTGTGAAGAAGAAGATGCAATACACCAGACCCAACAATTCAGAAGAGCTAAAAGCCACTATTAGAGCAACCTGGGCTATCATAACACCTGAGCAGTGCCACAGACTGATCGACTCCATGCCACGCCGCATTGCTGCAGTAATACAGGCCAAAGGAGGCCCAACTAAATACTGAGTGCTGTACATGCTCATACTTTTCATGTTCATACTTTTCAGTTGGCCAACATTTCTATAAATCCTTTGTTTTTATTGGTCTTCAGTAATATTCTAATTTTCTGATATGATGAATTTGAGATTTTCATTTGTTGTCATTTGTAATCATCAAAATTAAACAAAATAAACATCTGAAATATATGAGTTTGTATGTAATGTATGAATATAATATACAAGTTTCACTTTTTAAATGGAATTACTGAAATCAATCTACTTTTTCATGATATTCTAATTTTATGACCAGCACCTGTATATATATATATATATATATATTCCAGTTTCAGCCTTGATGCCTAAATAAACCATTTAGATATTATTCCTTAAGTAAACTTTGAACGCACGTATCAAACTAAAACCATCATAAAAACAAAAGGACTCTTGCCCGCCTGTAAAATGTTTTTTTAAACCCTAAAAAATAATCTATATAAATTTTGTTGGTAGAGGCACCATCCAGTGATTTTGTTGATAACAGTTTCCTTCTATATTTTTCTCTATGGTATAAATGTTGAATTATACAAATAATAAAAGATGAACAGATCTTTACGCCATGTACCATTGCATCTATTAAACGGTAAATCAGAGCCTTTATGAGCAGGTAACTTGGTATGTTTAAGATTTAAATCCCTGTGACAGAGATACCTAAAATACTTTAAAAAAAACTTTAATTATCACATTGAATCTGAGATTAACTGCATACTTTAGCTTCCCAATGATGACTAAACAGCAGGTCTGTCTGATGCTCAGCAAGAAATCAAAAGGTGTGCAATAGATCTGTTGTTTTCAGGTGCTGCTAATGTAGTGCTGCCCTGCCACCTTGTGGTGGATTGAGGCAACAACAACTGAAATAACCAATTATTTTAGGAAAATCTCACATAAACAGGAGTTTGGATATTTTAGCCGCAGTAATCGGCTTAAAACCTCTTAAAACAAAGCTAGGTAAGCAGATTATTAAAAAGGAGATTATTTGACATGGTTGCCAGAGTTAAGACCATGTGAAATTAGCCGACAGGAAACTGAATATTTAATCCTTAGTTGTTCTCATGAATGAATGAACCTAGTGGGCCTGAAGGAAAGCAGACCAGTCTTATTGATGTCTGTTGTGACTGCTGTAATTATCCCTGTTTTGATGTGAGGATGTGGAGTCATGCAGGCTGGTTGTACATCTGGGGCAGGATGAGGTAGCAGTAGAGCAGGATCCACAGGAGCAGCAGTATTTCCAGCTCCAATTGCTTTATGTTACAGCTGGCTGCTATAGATCGGAGACTCAATCCTCTATCGTTCCTGGAATAGAAATAAACAAAGGAGTTTAATTATTACATCCAAGTTGTGAAGCAAAGAAAAAACCTGAAACCCAATTGGACGACTTATTTTATTATAGATAAAGTAACCTAGATAACACCTTCCACTTTTTTCAGTTTTATATCCACATATTTAGCCAGTGCATTTAGATTGTTGAAAATGTTCTCTTAACTGCCTTTGCTTGATATTTTGTTGATCCACCTTAGGCAGCAGTTACAGCCTCATGTCTTGATGCCATGAGCTTAGCAGGTCTATCTCTAGGCAGTTTCAACCATTCTTCTTTGCATTACTTCTCAAGGTCCACCTGGTTGCATCTTCTGCAAATCTGGATCGGGTTTCCATCCAGGAAGTCTCTGTATATTTCTGCATTCATCTTTCCCTCTATCATGACTAGCCTGCCAGTTTCTGCTGCTGAAAAACCTCCCCAGAGCCTGAGGCTGCCACCACCATGCTCCACTGCAGGGATGGTGTTGGCCTAGTAATGAGTGGTACCTGGTTTCATCGTAATGTGATATGAAAGAGTTCAGGCTTTGCCTCATCACACCAGATAATGTTTTTTGTCTGAGAGGCTATAAGGAGCTATTCTGGTCATCTTCCTGGCTAATGCCCTTCTCCCCTAAGAGAATCACTCAGTTTGGACAGTCTGCCAGCTCTAGGAAGAGGCCGGCAGTTCCAAACTTCTTGGAATGTATCCTTGTATGTATTAAGGAGGCTTCTCTGCTTAATAAACCTACAAAGCTGCAAAAAAATTTTGCATTCTCCAAAGATCTGTGTCATATGGCAATCTTGTCATAAAGTCTGCAAACAATTCCTTCAACTTCATGGTTGGTGTTTGCGCTCTGACATGGACTGTCAGCTGTGGAACATTATATAACAGGAAGTGAAGGGTGTGTGAAATGATGAATCAGTACCTGAATGACCGAGAAGATGCCCTGCAGGCCGCAGTCCAACCGTTATCTCCTTCATGGATGTTATCATGGGACCTTTTGGGGGAAGTTTTGTCATCTGCTATCAGATCCTCATGTCTCCTGATCATAGGTTTGCGTTTTTTTGCATCTTCAGTTTGAACAGGCCCGAAATCAGATGATTGAATCAGATGAAGAGCTTCCTCCATTTTCACTGCAGCTTTACAGCCTGTGCTGTTTACTGTAGTTATGTTTCTATTCCTGCTTTTAAACCCAGCATCACCTGTAAGTGTTTTCCCCTCTGTTTTATCCTTGTAATTTTCTGATTTTACACATTCCTCGATGCTTGTCTCACTGTCCTCAACACATGCTTCCTCCATTTCGCTCTGCTCCTTTAGATCCCGTCCTTCCTTTAATCTTCCCAAATCTCGCCCCGCTGTTCTCTCAGTCATATGTCCCAGTTTTTCAGAGAGCTCCGCTCCCTCTTCGTCAGCATATTTCCCATTAACCGCTTCAAAAACCCTTGCCTTCACTCCACCATCTTGTGTTTTGTCAAACCCGTCCCTGTTTTTTCTATCACCCTCTGTCTTTTCATTGCTCTCCTCTTCAGTAGATGCATCACTGTTTGTTCCTCTCCTGAACTTTGGCTCTTTTCTGCTTCCTGTCTCAGCCTCTGGCTCCAAGTCAAGCACAGCTCCATTGTTTGTTTTCTCTCTGAGGCTGTTTCTGCTCTTGTCCAAATCAAACTTCCTGTGAGCCACTGACTGAGCTCTTTCTGCTGATTCTGGATTAAAATCTGTGTCCTCACAGAGATGTTCTTCCCGCTGTTTATATCTGCCTCCATTAAACATCCCGAGTCCCTCCAGATGTTTTGACTCTTCCTCCATCTCCTCAGCTGTTTCCTCCTCTACTTTTGGTACTTGCCGTTTTGATGGATTATTTGGTTGGAAGACATCTCTATTTAGATCCAGAATGTAGCTGTATGCCTCCTCCTCATCTGAATCCAGAGCTGATAAGGTGTAGATTCCTTCCTCAGAGCTCTGGGAAACAAGACTCCGGTGAACTCTTCTCCTATCATGGCCTCGATCCAAACCCTTATCCATCCAGGATCGGATCTCTTGGTTAGCTACACCTGCTTCCAATGGACTGGGCGGCTCTAACACCCTTTGGTTAGAGGAAAAGGAGATTTCACTCTTGTTGGAGCTACAGGGGATGGCTTTGGACCATTGTTTCCACAGCTGCTGCTCACTGCTCTTCTCAAAGGTTCTGAGTAGAGCAAGGGCCTCTGGGTCATCAGCAAGGGTTCCTCCAAAGCCGACTGGTTCTATAGATCCATAGCTGGGAATCTCAGGGAAATCACAGTGCACCATGTGATCCTGTAATAGAAACCACCATCACAGATTAGCATAAGGAAGGATTTCTTTCATTTACATGCTTGGAAGCACTTTTGATTTTGCAAGGTTAAAAGAAATGTTTTGTCATGTGATGAAGGTAATGGTGGATTGGATAGGGGTTTGAGTAAGTTAAATTTGCTCTAGCACAAGCTTTCTCTAAATTTAGGCATCTCGTTGTGAACTGTTTTAACTCATAAAACCATCTTACAGAGATGACTCTAGATTGGAGGTCTTCAACAGGGGGTCTGTAACCCCTAGGGGGTCTACGGAGGTACTGCATGGGGGTCGCTAAAGATATGGTTTATTAGACTTTTTTTTTCTATATTTCCCCCTGCAATTCCACTAATTGAAATTTGGTTAAATACACATTGACACAAATTCAACACACTGTAGTAAACAGATAAATGGAGGCAGAAGATGTCTTTCAGTCATCAATAGAAACACATTCAGCGACACACAGGAGCTCTTTCAAGCTGGGCACCATTTCATTCTCAACACCTGTCCCATCAACCAGGAATCAGAATCAGAAATACTTTAATAATCCCAGGGAGAAATTACCTTTGTTACATTACATCATCTGTAATAGAGTGACTATATGACCAGTTTGATATAATACTATTTCATACTATATATAAAATGAGGGGGTCCCTGCTCCATCTCGCCATCAGTTTGGGGGTCCTTGGCCTGGAAAACGTTGAAGAACCCTGAACTAAATGACTCTGTTTGGCTTAGAAACAAAGTTTGGTTTAACTTAACTCCTTCACAGTGATCCACCAGCACCTTATTGCTGGAATAAATTAACTTTCAACACCTGGACTATTTGCTCATTGTTGTGTCCGATTTACCTTACAATAATCCCTGTTAGCAATAGAAGTAGATAAAAATGTATATCTTTGCTTTTAATGTGTTTTCAATGCTAAAGGGACATTTATTCAAATGCCATTTTGCACTGAACCACTGCAACTTGCACACTGTCTCTTATCCTCTGCACTGTTCACACTTTGACCACTGCTGCACTTTTTGTATTTTTCTATAACTCGTGCCATTTGAAATATCAATGCAACGTTCATAAGCTGTATGTAACGCAATTTCGTTCTGTATGCACCCTGTGCATACAAAATGACAAATAAAGAAGTCTAAGTCTAAGTCTAAGTCTAAGTCTATTCATAGCTGCAAACTATAACGTCTCCAACTGATGCTTCAAGTCGTCATGAATCCAAATTTCTCTGTTATTACACTTTATACAGGCTGCAGCATTCGCCTGATTGCCACACATAGGGTCGCCAGTTGGCCATGCTCTGTTTTCCCCTCTAACGACATTGTGAATTTATTTTTACCTTTTCTTTTAGTGTGCGGATTGATTTTGTAAAAAATTAAATCAAACCTAAATTAAATTAGGCACCTAATTCTGTTTCTTTATATGTGACAGTCCCTTTATTTAAGGGACAGGCTGTAAGGCCAGCCACAGTTATCCCTGGTTGGAAAAACCAATATGGCTGCCTGTGAGCTAAACAATGAAAATAGCGGCAATTTACACCAATTTCTAAGCTGCTATTTTAATATTGGTCTAATTGAATTGTTTGCACACATATGATATTTATATGCTTATAATCCATAGAAATAATATCAGCCAGCTTGAGGTTTTTATTATTGTTAGCATGAGGCTAACTAGTGCAAAGCTAGCAAATACAGTGTCATGTAACATTCATTACTTATTGGACTTTGCGGCAATTAAGTATAATACCTCCATAAAGTGCAAACAGGGCATTTTAATTGGATTTTGTGTAATAGATCCAAATAAAGTCATACAAATACTAAGGGGAAGGAAAAATGATACAAGGTAATATTTTCTTGCAAATATCAAAAAAGAGAAGCCTCCCTGGAGAAATACATCTTTATACATGGAAAAGTTGATATTCTGCAGCTCTACCGTAGAAATTTTGTAGATGCCCCATGCATACATCTGTAGGTGAGGTCCAGAGCTCAGGGAGATGGTCAGATGCCGGGATATCACCTTAAAACATAACCCAGCTTTCTCCCTGACCTGCCTCACTGTGTTTGTGCCATATACAATTAGAGAAGTGTATATCACTATGGATCACTTTTTCTTCTATGTATTTTTCACTATGTGACACACTGCTCCCTGGGTGCCACACAATGGCAGCCCACTGCTCCCCAAGGGTATGGGTTAAATGCAGAGGAAAATTTCTCAAATGTGAGATTAATAAAGTTCAATTATTATTGTTATTATTCATTATTAAAAGCCAGATAAACCATGTTGTTTTGTTTGCTAACAAATAATGAAATATTAAGGGCTGTAAATACTTGCGTAAGTCTCTTTCATGCTAGGTTTTAATTCAAAACCAAAACCATAACCATTGTGATACACAGTATGAAAATCTATGAACCATCCAAAACTACATGGAAAGACGAGAACAGTCTGAATCGTGGTGTTAAAAGCTATTCTAAAATCATAGGAGAACACCAGAGAGACTTGACTGTCTTTTTAATTTAATGCACAAATTGCAAAAAGTCTAACATGTTCCTTTCTTTCTCTGTACCTGTTCTTAAAAATGAATTCTCTTTGTTGTCTTCAGGATGTCGCCTTGTCATCTCACTCCGTAAAGCAAACCAGAAAATGCAAAATTCTTGAATCCAATAGGCATTCAACTTTTAAGCTCTATATAGTGGAGCTGTTTTTAAACTGTGCTGTGCTTTTATCTGTTGTATACTTTTCTTCTTTTTTTTTCTCATTGTATTTTAATATTACATTGTATTGTTTTTTTATGAGTCTGTCTTTTGTGCTGTTTAGAAAAAATTGCCCCTCGTTGGATTGATAAAGTGGTCCAAGTCTAATAAATCGTGTAGCTGCCAGTACAATTATTTCAATTATGACAAATTTCCTTGACAAAGTAATACTTTATTTTGGGGTAATTTCTTTGTTTTTAATAATATCTTCATGCATAATTCCAAATTATGTAATTATGTTAGGTGGTTCTTTTAAAAACAAGATGAACAAAACCGGAGATATGCATGTGTGTGATCCAAAAATTACCTTCTGCTTACTTTTTCTACTAATCTGGATTAAATGCGTTAAGTAAAGTTAGCTTTCCTGTTTAGTTTACTGTTATACTGGGTTGCTCCAGTATAACCATGAATTCATCAGTTTTCTCATGAATTTGCCCAGAAGTTAAAATCAAGCATATTTCTTCAAGTGTCAAACTGCACTGACCTCATCTATAACTGAAAAACGCCCCAGGAACATCGACACATACGTTATGATGGACTGCTCATCGGGTTTGGAGCACATCACGTCTAGAATGGGGAAGATAAACATTTCTTTTATGTAACCATGGTAACTGCATGACTTAATTTAAAGTCTGTATTCTGGATTTACCTTCAGGCTCAAGTAGAAGGGGTACATCCAAACACTGATGAGCCACCATGAAAGCCTGCTGGATGTTTTCCTTTCGCTCTTTGGACAAGCTCTCCCTTAGGTCAATCAGGTCTGGGTTCATTGACTTAATCAAAGCGAGGAAGGCCAGTCCGCTCCTCCAGCTCGCCCCAAAGTCATCCACGATTACACCATACCTGCAAATTCATGACTAACTTTCACCATTCGTGTATCTGGTAACTTCTGCTTGGCAAAATAACATTTTCTTTCACTTATTGAATTTGCATTCAGACTCACTTTGATGTGCATCTTTGGACCCAGTGCAGGAGAGTCTTAATGGCTTTGCTGTGGTACTTTGGCTCCCTTGCAGTCTTTTTACCTTTCCTTGGCAGGGTGTTGCAGGAGTAGCTGTCAGTGTCGGCTGTCTGTGGTGAGAGGTCACTAGTGGAGGGGTAAGTGCTCAGTGATAAAGAGGACAGGCTAGAGGACAGACGTCTCTGCAGGCCTCCTGTCGCCTCCTTTACCTGTTTGTTTTCAATAATAGGGACAGGAGTAAAACATTTGGAGAAATATGGTGCAAATAAAAGTAGATCAGGAGTGTCACACTGGTTCCAGAAAGGGCCGTGTGGCTGCAGGTTTTCTTTCCAACCAAGCAGTAGCACAACAGACTCCAGTCATCTCATCAAGTTAGTCCAATCTGAACATGATGACTTGATGAGATGACTGGAGTCTGGTGTGCTACTGCTTGGTTGGAAAGAAAACCCGCAGCCACACGGCCCTTTCTGGAACCAGTTTGACACTCCTGGTGTAGATGGAACCTATTTGCCTACCTGGAAGTGCAGGATAATGTTCCAGATGAGGTTGAGAACAACAGAAGGGATGCCGTCAGCAATACCGGAGGCATCAATATCAAGGAGCCTCACCTGGTAGACAGCATTGTTGTAAATAAATAGGTTTCAACAGACTCAGTTGCATTGAACTGATGAGCTAACACTCACATGTCTGTCATCCAGGAAGGCCAAAGCCTTGGAAATGTTGTTCAGTCTGAAAATGCGATGGGATGAAGATCTAAACCTGTAAAGCTAACATCACAGTGGGGAGAACGGTAGAAGTTCATGAGGGGTTTCCTATCATTAGAAGCAAGGGTTGGCAATATTGTATCACAAGTGACAAATACTGGGCTCTGCAAAAGTTGAGCAAATCTCCAGAACGTTTGCACAATTTGTCTTATGACAATAAACTTGTATTTTATTGGGATTTCACAATAAAATACAACTCCTCTTAACTCTAATGTCCCTGATTAAAATCCAGTACAACTCTTTAGGAGGTAGAGTCTGCAACTGTTCTGTAAAGGCCTCAGAGGTTTGAACAAACAGTCTTATGAAGAACAATGAGAACAGCAGACATATCAGAGAGCAAGCTTAAGAGAGGTCTTAAGCAGGATTAGGTTCAAATAAAACAATACCCCACACCCTGAAAATTTCACCAGAGTATTGTTTAATCGTTATCCTTTAACAGAAACAGTGTGACACAACTTTTAAATCAATAGAAAGACACGGCTTCCCAACTGAACTGACAGAAGAAGTTAGGAGAGCATTAATCAGAGAAGCAGACAAGAGGTCTATGGTAGTTGTGGATGAGCTACAGGGAAATATAATCATACCATAAAAACTATGGAATAGAGGGAAGAAGGTAAGCTGCGGGACACAGTGAACATGGGGCAGAATAGGTTCTGTTTAGTTGAGTTAGAGTTTAAATCTGTATCTCAAACATTAAGCACGGAGGAGGAAGCATCATAGCATGGGACAGTGATGCTGGGTAGAGTTATAATGATAAAAAAGGGGGTGAGACCATGACAAGCCTGAGACAGCGTCAGAGGGAATATCCAAAACATGCAGCTAATCTGGAGTGGTATCGATTGAAGCATAGCCATGTGTTAGGATGGCCCAGTCACAATCAAAACCTCAATCTGTGGCAAGAACCTGACTGAGCTTGAACTATTTTGAGAAGAGGCCAAAGACGTAAACCTTCAAACATGCAAAGCTAGCACAGACATACTCCAAATAATTTCTGCTTGTACTTGCTGCAAATACCTGCTTTAACATAAACTGACTCTGTTTTTCAAAAGCCCATCTTGTTCCATTTTCTGCAGAATTATGCACCACTTTATGTTGGTCTTTCACATAAAATTCCAATAAAATGCAAAAATGTGTACAATTTTAGGTGGCAAAAAATTAATTCAAAAGTTTGTAAATAACTTTGCAACCCAGGGCATACTCTGGGCATAAAACAAAATAGCTTCCCCATATGAGGGGAGTTCTTACTAGCTTGCAGCCAGACAGCTCCTCCAGCAGGGCCATCAGCATTCTGCCATCCTGAATGTCAGTAAACAGGTCGCACACTTTAAGCGGAGGATCGCGCTAGGAAGAAACAGAAACATTAAGTATTCTTGTGAGAAATGGAACCAAGTGAAGTGAAAATGTAATGGTCCACGCCCTTACTCTCTGCAGGAACACATTCATCCATCTGGTAAAGACTCTCTTCTGCATTTCTTTCCTCATACCTGGGAAAGAGGAAGTGGGATGTAAGGTAATCTTGTTGTCAAAACACCTTTTTGAGAAAAAAATTTACAATAGATGACAACATGTTGGGAGCAAAAAACAAAGCCTGAGTTGGCTGAAGAATAGGAAGTTCTTAGACCAAAGGTGAGGTAGTCCACTAATCTAGATCACTAAAACACATCAGCTTGTCACCCTACCTTGAGGATATCCATTGTGACCATTAACCACCTTTGTTGTTGTAGAATGAGAATCCACTAAATCCTGCATTCTCAGTCAATCTGCTCAGAATCCATTTCGGGGTTGAAAAAGTTGCTAAAAGCCGAAAACAGCAGCAATCAGAACTGCTGTGAGATTTCCTCACAAAAAGAAGGATTGAGGTGAGGCAAAGTGAGACAGTAAAGCTTGCCTCAGCATGCTGAAACCTCCCCTCAGAGTCAGAGCAAAACTCCCCCTGGGAGAACAATCTCCCCCCTATTGGTAGGCAGCAGTCCATAAAGTCATATCTGTAGAGGTATTTTCCTGATGTGCCTGGACCTTTCCATGCTGTGATAAAAGAATCATTGGTTTTACCGTATTTCATCACAGACTGGGAGCTGCATAGCAGAAGGAAGTTACACAACAATTTCAGCCAGGATTTATTACCTGAAATTAACACATTTTGTCTGGGCATGTTATAAACAGATATAAAGAATTAGCAGAGACAGACCAGTGCTGTTGTTTTAAGAATAAGAACTAGTAATTTCATCTGCATTTGTTTGTGCTTCAAGTTCAAAAGGCCTAAATTGTTGGTTTTTCACAATAGAATCTCTTTTGCAGCTGAAAATACAGGCTAGAAAAGAGCTAGAGAGAATCAAGATGCCTGTGAAGCTGTTAAACATGATGGTGAGGTAATGCTTTTTTTACACAGGGACATGAAAGTTGGTCAGAGTTCATAACAAGATAAATGGACCTAAATATTAAATACAGAACTGCAAAAACATGTTAAAAACATCAATTATCACCTTTAATTAAAACATAAATAATCCACCCAGTGCTGCAGAGGAACAGTTTAGCTCAAAGCATACAGTGCTGTTAGAACGGCCTATTCAAAGTCCAGACCTAAATCCAAGTCTGATTATTTGGAAAGACTGAAATTCAATGTTTAGGGCTGCCATTTGTGATGCTGCAACTAATTAGTTATTTTAACATGTACATCCAAACATAAAGCTAGGGGTAAATACTCCATTCCTAAAAAGATCCTCTGCTATCTTTGAACATTGTTTTATCTATTGGCCTTCTTGGAATGTGTTTGTAAAATATATGAACAATTTTCAGAAGAAGCTTGTGAAATGCTTCTAAATAAAGGAACTGTAGAATGGGCGTCATGTTTAAAAGGCTCTTCCTGGAGTTTCAGCAGATCTAAGCTAAACCATCTTAAATATTTATTGAAATATCTACTTATCAGTTTCTTACAATTTGGTGTAAAACTATTGACATCATAGTGTATTTAAGATTCTTAAAAAGTGATCACTTTACTTAAAATCCAAGTTATCACTTTACATATATATATATATATATAAAACTGTAAATGGAGCGTGTAACAAAAGTAATTTCCCTATGGGATTATTAAAGTATTTCTGATTCTGATTAAAATATAAATGTGGGGGTTTTAATATATGTAAACTGTAAATCAGGGGTCTTCACCGTTTTCCAGGCTAAGGACCCCCAAACTGAGATGGAGCAGGGACCCCCTCATTAAATATAGTATTAAATAGTGTTATATCAAACTGGTCCTATAGTCAATCTATTACAGATGGAGTCATGTAACTAAAGTAATTTCTTCCTGGGATTATTAAAGTATTTCTGATTCTGATTCCTGGTTGATGGGACAGGTGTTGTGAATGAAACGGTGCCCAGCTTGAAACAGCTCCTGTGTGTCGCTGAATGTGTGCATTGATGACTGAAAGACATCTTCTGCCTCCATTTATGTTTACTACAGCATGTTGAATTCATGTTAATGTGGATTTAAAGACATTTCAATAAGTGGAAAAATTACAGGGGGGAATATAAAAAACAAAAGTATAATCAACCAAAGCTTTAGTGACCCCCATGCAGTACCTCAGTGGACCCCATAGGGGTCGCGGACCCCCTGTTGAAGACCTCTGCTGTAAATAATCCAATCTGAAGACAGATCTTGTTCTCTGTGATGTGCTTAATCAAAATAATTACCATAGTAACATAACATGATTTATTTTTAAAGCAGAGACAAGAAGTTATGACTATGTGCCACAGTTGTGTAACACCAGAAAAAAAAAAACCTAGAAAGATTTTTACCAAGAAACCCCAGTTAATAGGTGATTTAGGAGACCAATTCCTAAGGTTGGCCCCTAGGCATCGAGGAGAACCCCAAGGCTGTGCTTTCAGCTCCTTTATATTTCATCTACACTAATAACTGCAGTCTTCCATCTTATGAAAATGTTAAAAACATATTTTGCATATAACACATCACCGGTGCTATTGATCAACAGAGGAGTTGAATCAGCATATAGGGAGGATATATGGCAGCTGACACACTGGCAGTCTCCACAACTACAGAAGTCACAGATTTCATGAAGGGAAAAGGGCTATTAGCTGCAGACGTATTGAAAGAGAGAACTTCTCAACATCTAGATTGTGACTTTAAAAGAATCTCACATATGCACTATAAAAAACTAAAACAAGAAAGCAAAGCAATGGCTCCCCTTCCTAAGATTCATTACACTAAAACAGGTGAAAGATTTATTGAAATAAGTATATTTGCTCTTAATTTTTGCAGGCAAGTAAAATTATCTGCCAATTCAATTAGTATAGATATTTTTTTACTTGTTTTGGGTGCAAAAACCTTATTAGTTTAACAGATCATATTACTTTCCAACTTCACTATTTTAAGAAAACTATAATTATAATTCACTTTATGCAGTGTAATTTCAAGCAGACAGCAGTGGTTTCTGTGGAGACACCCACATTATGAATCACCTTAAAACTGACGCCTGTTCTGATTCAGTTTTCCTGTCATCACTGATCCATGAGACGCACAGTGACCCACACTGGATGCACTTCTGCTTTATGTGAAATATGACTTGACCTTAACCACATTACACACCGACTGGATCTAGTTTGAAAATAAAGGTGTTTTTTTTGTTGTTGTTTTTTTTCTGCCAGGATGATGCGACAGTAAATTATTTAAATCTATAAAATGTAAACCCCCCCAAAAGAATGAAGCTTTTTATCCATTTTCAATATCTTGTTTTCTTGAGTTAATTTTTCCTGCTTTTATAAGCCTCCTAATATCTGAAAGCTGTAACATGTTTTTATGTTCAGCTCTCCACTGAAACACTTGTGGAATTTTTACCTGATATTATAGCTGTAAGCCTTCTTAGGAGGAAGGTATCTAGAGATGAAAAGGTTTATCTTTGCAAATCACCTCAGACTAAATAACTTTAAGTTAAAAATGTAAACATAAAAGATTTTCAGTTGTCTTAAATCTCCAGACTAGTTCCTCCCAGACATGTCTGCTGTGCAGTTTCTTCTTTAATGTTCTCTAACAAACCTCTGACCTTTCCAAGAACAGCTGGACTTGGATCAGAATAATTCTGAATGACAATGACTTTTTAAAATTTAAATATAGCATACTTGCATTTGTTACTCTGTCCCTTCCCCACTGAAGCCCTCTTTTACAGAGTTTAGTTGTTTCTAGTCTTTATGGAAAACCAGTCAGATTCTTGTTGATGTTCTAACTCAACCAATAAGTTGTTTCTGACATGTTGAAGTATTACAGAGTTTTTCTAGCTTAGTAGAAATTAATAAAAACATGTTTTAGTTTGTTAATTGTATCAGCAGAAGATGGAAGATCCTGATAAAGGTGCATACCGGCCATTAGCTGTGGAGGATGTTGATTCTTGTTTTGAAGGAGATTGTGAGTCTTCTTGTTTTCTGCATATTTCTCAAATTGATGTGATGACCAGCATCAATGTTTCACACATTGAGCAACAGCTCTAGTTTCCCCATCCCCATCTTTTCCTTTTTTTCCACAACAATGGTCTAGTTTGTATTAAAAAAAACAATCCACATAAAGGGCAGTGTTTGAAAATGACAGTATATGAAAAGGTTAAAAGGGAATATTTAGTTATAGTCAATAAATATTACATATAGATGTAGGATAGCAACACAGATTACTGTCAACATATTTTTGTCCTTATTTGTATTATTCTAAGCTTAAAGTCAACAAAAAATATCACATTTAAGGTTAAAATATAAAACACAAAGAGAATTAAGCAGAAATGGGACCTTAATGAAAAAAGGCTTAATATCTGCCAAAGTTGCTTTTTACAAAAAGGTTTCATCTGAGAAATAAGCCAAATAAAAGGTTTACTAAATCATCTCTTTGTTAAAAATTTTAATGCTTCCATCTGTAGAAAACAAAAAAAATTGATATTCTAGAGACAAAAAAAAAACAACCATTTGATTCATAATATGATTAATCTGATTTTTTTGAACATGAACACGAATGTTTAAAAATGTGTAAGTTGTCATGCAAAAAAAAAAAAAGACATTAAAAACCACCACATCCAGATGTGTGTCAAGAAATGTCACATTTACTGCTGAAAGAGGCAGAAAAAAAACACAAAAACCTTATGAGACTTACAAGTTGAAATGTTTTATTATTTACAGATTCAACAAGAAAAAGTAAAACCTAAAAATCAGAATAGAAGCTATTCTTGTGGCAGCGGACAGTGTCTGACAGGCAAAGCTTCCCCTGGTCCAAACAATATCTGGCTGCCTGGTTTTACTCTACCTGCCTCAAGAAAGGTGACGGCCACAGAGACCGGCCAACACCACCGTGGGAGGCAGGCGTCTGTCCAAGGAACATCGCACGCAGAACTCCCAATCCTGCAGGAGCCGCGCCTTTTCATTCATTGAGTTGCTTTTTGCAGCCTTGTTGAGCCCAAAGGTGATGGAAGGTCACCCAGAGCTGAATGACAAGGCTGCAGAGACACAGGACAAGAGTTCAAACACCAGTTTAAGACATTTTTCCCCAAAATGTATTTCAATCTGAAAACCTCACATGAAGAGAAAAGACAATTAGGAAAATGTATTGATACAATAACATCGTCTTTGAGACTCAGACCTCGGCAGGAAACATAGCGCTTAATTTTGATAGATATGCATGAACAGGAGCAAAGAATATGGCTGTTTCCCCCCCAGGCCTGAAACTGGAGGTGGAGCCGTTTTATGGAGTAGGCTCCATCAAACAGCCTAATCAATCCTGCTGAAACACATAACCAGTTATCTATGAGATGTCTTATCTGACAGATTTCAGTAATAATTTCCATGTTTTGTGATAACATAAATGTTCAACATACAGATTATTACAGATTTTTGTTGTTCTAGTCTTTATGAAATGTAAAAGGCTGATGTGAACCCAGCTGATCAGCAGTGTGCAGCCAGCAACATATTTTCTATAGTTTTTCTAAAGTTATTTTACCTCCCCAATGCAAAAAAACAAAAAGGTCAAGTTGGCAATAAGACTGTGCTTTTTATTAAGTGAACCAATATTAGCAAACAGTCAAAAACAACTATTTAATTCCAGGTTTTAACAATTTGATCAGGTGTTTATTTTAATCTAAAACACAACCATGTCCAAACAGATGAAAAATCTGATGAAAAATCTTAAGCTGCTTCAGTCCCCTGGAGTAAACAGTGAAACTGATTAAATTAACCTTTTTCTAACTTATGATGCGTTATTCAGGCAGATTTGATGTTAAAACATTTATATGATGCACAAACCCCACAGTCTTTCTTCTAACCCTGCTGATGCCATTTCATCATATTGTTCATTTCCTCCCCATAACGAAGCTTGGAGCCTCCGCATCATCTTCTTTTTCCTCTTCTGTTCCACTCTCCTCCTTCTTCTCCTCCTCTCCGCTGCTGTCAGAGTCCGTATCTCCTCCCTTACCGTCTTTATCCTCCATCTTAGCCTTCTTTGCTAGATGCTTCTTCTGCTTAAGCTTTTCCCGCTTCTTCCTTCGCTTCGCGGTTCGCTCCTCGGCTGCCTTTCTGTTCTGCTCTATTTTCTTCAGGTACTCCACGTCCTTGTCCTGCTTCTCTGCCATTTTGTCCAGAAAGTCCTGCCTCTGGTACTCTCTGCGGCGGAGGTGGCGGTAAACGTGGAACTCACCGCTGCCTGCGCCCGCGCTGGAGCCCATCACGTCCCGGACGAACTCCGGCGGGGCGCGAGGGTTCCACTCCTTTGGCCTCTCCGGGATGGGAGCGGGCTTGTCGGGGTTTCTCATGAGCCGCTCCAACTTCAGCCGTTGCTCATCCGCAGGGGTTTTGGGGAGAATCAGCGGCTGAGCCTCTTTCCCCCCTGATTTCGGTGGTTTGTTATTTTTCTGCGTGTGCGCCGCCATCTTTCGAAGTTGCCCTGGTGGTGTTCTTCCTTTCTGCGCACCTCAACCCGGAAGCTGTTAAATGACCCCTGGTCGACGTTTTTTTTTTTTTCTTTTTCTGATGTAAATATATATATTTACGAAATTAAATATAAATCAGACGATTTAAAACGTTTCTTTTAGAGCAAATTGTTTTTAAAAAAGAGTAAATCCCTTATTTTATATTGTTATATTATATTGTTTTTCCTTACACAACCCACGTTTGTTGACGTTAATGCACTTTGACTGATGTTGGGTCTGGACAATAGCAAATCAAATGAAAGTTTGACGTCATTCAGCCGTCCAATCAGCATCTAGATCCCGCCCAGCAAGCTTGAACTCTCTGTTGCCCCGTGAGTTTCTCTCAAGGGGAACGTTGGTCGTTTGGTGCATGGCGCGTGTTTTGAAGCTGCTCTGCTTGTGGAGAAATGTCCTGGGCCGTGAGTAGTGAGGAAACAGGAAGCGATTCTTGTGGGATGGAAGAGGGAAATAGTGACAATGAAGGTTGGAAGATAGCAGCATCAAAAAATGAGAAAAAGCGGAAAAAACAGAGATCAGTTAAAGGGGAATCTAGTTCAGAACAATCCAGTGATGATCAATCCATACATTCCACAGCACAACAAAATGAATTCAAAGTCATATTCAAAGTCGTTAATCAGGCAGACTCTTTTACAAACTGGAATCCGGTTCACTTAACAAAAACCATCAATAAACTTGTTGGAGAAGTCAGAGGTGCCAGAATTCTGTACAGTGGAGACCTGCTAATTAACTGCAGAGACAGCGCCCAGCAAGGCAAAGCAATACGTATTAACAAAATTGACGGGATAAGAGTTCAGTGCAGCCTAATGGAGAACAAAAAGATCAGCAGGGGAGTCATTGGAGGAGTTCCTCTGAAAATTTCTGAAAAAGAGATTCTGGAAAACATAAGCGGTGCAAAAGTAAAAGAAGTAAAACGGTTAAAAACAACAAGAAACGGAGAAAGATCTGACAGTTTATCTGTACTAATTAAATTCGAGGAAGAGCAATTACCAAGCAAAGTATTCATCGGTTACATCAGTTACAATGTCAAAATCTACAATCCACCACCATTGAGATGTTTCAAATGTCAAAAATTCGGACACATTGCAGCAGTTTGTAAAGGGAAACAGAGGTGTGGAAGGTGTGCAGGAGAACATGAATATGGTAAATGTGGAAAAGAAGCTAAAATAAAATGCTGTAATTGTGGTGGAGAACATACTGCTGCTTATCGCGGCTGTGAAGCAAGCAAAAGGTCTGAAGAAATAAAAAAAATGAAATTTGAGCTTGGAATAACTTATGCTGAAGCTGCAAAAAGGATCCCATCTCAGTCAGAAAAACCCAAACCTACAGTTCAACACACGGCAAATTTCAAACCTCTAGAGAAATCTCCAAAAATTGATGAAGACTCACTAATTGTTAAAAAGACAAATTTTGTTCTTTTCATGGTGGAAGTGATTAATTGTACTGCTCAGACGACAAAAAAAACAGAAAAAATCAAAATAATAGTGAAGGCTGCAGAAAAATATCTGGATGTTAAAGATATGAACTGGGAGATGGTTGGAAGCATGATGGAAAGACCAATGGGACCATCAGAAACTGGCAGAGGTACGATGACCTAGAGTAAATTAAAATTATACGGGCAAATGTAATTTAGTATAATTTAGTATTATGTGGGTTTAAGTTACACAGGTTATTTTATTGTATTTTTTTTTTTTTTTTTTTTTTTTTGGGGGGGGTGAATCGTTTCCTGTTTCCTTGCTTTACTCCATATCAGTTGGTGGCGGTAATGCACATTTCACAAGTTTGCCAACCGCCATAAAATCTCATAAGAAGAAGAAGAAGAAGAGTTTCTCTCAAACAGACCCCAACTTGTCCTGTAGCGAGCTGTTTATTTGTCCTTAACAGTTAAAAGCTCTAAATTTTACCATGAATAGTTTAATAAGATCTACTGGCAGGTGTTTACGTTCCGGCGCGGCCGCGTGCTTACTCAGGACGGCCGACGGACGTGTTGGAGCGGCCTCGGCCCGGTTCCTCTGCTCGGCGGCGGACGTCCAGAAGGACCTTGGCGAGCTGGTGAAGAAGGACAAGGTTGTGGTGTTTATGAAGGGGACCCCCGCTCAGCCAATGTGCGGCTTTAGCAACGCCGTGGTGCAGATCCTCCGGATGCATGGGGTGGACCAGTACTCTTCTTATAACGTCCTGGAGGACCAGGAGCTGAGGGAAGGTCAGTAAGCTGGGACCAGTTGAGTCTAGCATGATGGACAACTTGGCATCTCTGATGGACTTTTAATTAAATTTGCTCCTTCTAATTAAATCAGGCAGTCTGTATTTTTTTCTCTCTCTGTTAGGTTTGCTTCCATGTTTCCATTAACCCAATGATCATGTCCCTCAGATCAGCTCTGCCTCTGTATCTCCAAACGTTTGGCTTTTATCAGTGTCCAGCAGCAGCTGCACCAAAGGGTGCGGTTCCCTCAAACCAACCAAGCACCATAGAAGGGATGAGAAACTTTATTTGTCCAACAATCTAACTCTCAGGGTTGAGAGGAGAGACATTGATCCCAGATGCTGTTCTCAAATGAGCTCTCAGGTCTTTAGCTGCCCTCATTTGTTTCAGTAAAATGTGATCATCATGATCAAACAGTTTCATCAGACGCTGAGCATTTTTTCCAAAAGTTAAAGTCGTTTTCCCTGAGTGCGTTTTCAGAACTGTAATCTGGCGTTTTTCTTATCTTGCTTTCAAAACAATGGCTTCTTCCTCTCTGAGTGGCCTTTCAGTCGGTGTTTTTCAGTCAATTATCTTGGGCTTTTACTTTTGTTTGTTTTGTGATAAAATTCTTTCTTTTTCTGGATATTCCCATCAGGAAAGCCTGATGTTTTGTCAAACAGGTACAGCTGATATAAAAATATGTTTTTATATAGTTGATGTAAATATCTTATTGTTATGAGGGAGTGGGAAATATTTAGATAAAATTAAACAAAAAAAAGGCAAAATCCATAGCTGTGTTACATATAGTAGAATTCTTTCCAAATCCCTAAGCATTACTCTCTATGACACAATGGTCATATTGTACTTATCCTATTGTGTGGAAGTATGAGGAACCGCATGCAAACACGCTGTTTATTTTTAATGCAAAAAGGGGTGCTGAAAATGTAACAACAGAACAATACAAGACACAGAGATTCTTCTAAAACAAATTTTCTTGCGTTTTTTTGGATTTCCATGCTCTAGAACAGGGGTCTTCCACGTTTTCCAGGCCAAGGACCCCTAAACTGATGCCGAAATGGAACGAGGGCACCCTAATTTTAAATATATATAGTATAATTGTGTTATATTAAATTGCACCTATAGTCACTCGATTAAAGATGGAGTAATGTAACTAAAGTAATTTCTTCCTGGGATTATTAAAGTATTTCTGATTCTGCTTCCTGGTTGATGGGACAGGTGTTGTGAATGAAACGGTGCCCAGCTTGAAAGAGCTCCTGTGTGTCGCTGAATGTGTGCATTGATGACTGAAAGACATCTTCTGCCTCCATTTATCTGTTTAATACAGTCTGTTGAATACATAAAAATGTGGATTTAAAGACATTTCAATTAGTGGAAAAATTACAGGGGGAAATAAAAAAAAAAGGGCTAATCAACCAAAACTTTTGTGACCCCCATTAAGTACCTCAGTGGACCCCCTGTTGAAGACCTCTGCTCAAGTACAGTTACATAAGATTCTCCAGGTTTTGGATAAAGCAAATAAGAAAACATTTCCAGCAAACATTCAAGAAAGGTTTTTAAAAAAAGAGAAAGTCACTATAACCAAAGAGGAACAGTATTTTATTTTTTATTTTTAAGCCAGGTTCAAAACCAAAATTATGGAACAGATCATCACAGTACAAGGAATTAATTTGATGAATTGATTTAATCAAAGAATTAAAGAATCAAGAATGATGATCATATAAAAGCTACAATGCTAGGAATGTTTGGATGTCCATGGGCATAAGGATGGTATTACATTTTGATATTGAAATACATAAATAATACTTCAAATAATGTTAAATGTGGAAAACTGGGAAAAGGCAGATGCAAATACTGTAGTAGAACAGATGCAGAGTTCTTGTAAAATGAATTAAGGGGCAGATAAGACTTTTTGATTTTTTAATTTTGATTTTGGAATGTGTTTATCAGTATATTTAATTTATGTTTTGTATGAAAATAAAATTAGACAAGTTAATTTATTTTTCTTAAAATAAGATTCTATTTGGTTTACATAAAATTTGTCTGGATATTTCAAATGGGAAAATCTTGTTAGATTGTGAAGTCAAAGTTCAAAGGTCAGCTGGTGCTACATACTCAGTAAAGTGACTAGCTTATGTTTCTTCATGGTTCTCCTGGTGATGTCTGATTGTTTTTGTCTCCTTTTCTTTAATCTGTGACATTAGGAGTCAAAGTGTTTTCCAACTGGCCCACCATCCCTCAGGTCTACTTCAATGGCGAGTTTGTGGGAGGCTGCGACATCCTGCTTCAGATGCACCAGAACGGGGACCTGGTGGATGAGCTGAAGAAGCTGGGAATCCGCTCCGCTTTGCTGGACGCCGAGAAGGAATCCAAGTAGAAGAGTAAAAAAAACATCTAAGGGCTGAGAAGACAGAGGACACATTCACTAGATCCAACCCCCTCCCATAACACCTCCAATGATTGGAGACGAATCAGCTATCAGGGCAAACTGCAGCAGAGTGCAGATTGTAAATGCTTGCACAGATTGATTATTATATGCAGATAGTTTTCTGCTCATAAATGCTATAATGTGAAATGTAATTATAAACAGTTCCTTTGCACTGGTACAAAATGAAAATCTGATATTTTGCAGACTCACAATCTTGTTTGTAATATATTAAAGGGACAGAATGAAATATTAACGTCGCCACGGTTTCCTCCGATGTGGCCTTGAGAAATCTCTGTCACCTCTGGCGTCCATGTTTTTTCTCTCTCAATTCAGACTCCTTTCAATTGAAAAGGGAAACAGGACTGACCAGAACAGAGCTTGGATCAACACAAAATGATGTCTACACACTTTAAAACCTTCCAGATGCACTGCCTGCAGCTCCACTGCTCCAACACAAAGAAACAGGGACGATGGAGCAAATGATTTTAAAAAATCCAACTGTTTCCTCGTCTTTTTTTTTTTTTTTTTTTTGCTGTGATCTACGTACAAAATCCACCTGCTGTTTTTGTTTGTTTGTTTGTTTTATGCTGAGACACACCAAACACACCTTCCCTCTTCTTCTCTGACTCATTTCCTGGACCTTCTGGACAAACCGAGGCAGTTACCGTAGTCTGTTACACCTGTCTTAGTTCAGCCAGTTAGGAAGAGAGTTTTTTCATATTGTTTCGGGGCGTTCTTGTTGAGTCTGCAACCGACAGTTGTATTATGACATAAACATGTAGTGCGCTGTAAGATATTGTACATTTAAAGCATATTGTTAAATGTTTTTTAGGAACGTGCTAAGCCTGCAGCAATTAAATACATTCAAACTTGTATCGTGTGTTTGTGCTTTATTTACTTTTATTGCATTTGATGTAATGCTTTAGATCAGTTACAGATTGATGGTAGACAATAACTTTTGTTCATGAAGGGGAGCGAATATCTAAACTAACAGGAACTAATTACCCTGTTTTGTTAAGTCATGTTTCAGATTCAGCTGTTATTGGATGTACATGGATAAAAATAACTAATTTGATAGTCTCCGCTTGCTCTCATTACCTATATATTGTTTTATACACACTACAAAAAAATTAAAGGAACACTTTGTAATGAGAGCATAGCATCAAATTAATTAAACTTCTGGGATACTAATTGGGTCAGGTAAGTAGCAGAGGGAGTTGTTAATCAGTTTCAGCTGCTTTGGTCTTAATATTGTTTACGTATATATATATATATATATATTAACAATTTACCAACATTTTGCCCTACATATTTTTCATAATTTGGCCAACGGATGCTTTCTTTTTCCTCTTACTCATCTGGTCTGACCTGTCAGCCATTAGTGAAGCTTTCTCAGAAGTGGACCAAGCCCTGATGATGTCAGAGGTTCTGGTTATCAACTAATCACAGGCAAAAACAAAACGTTTGGATCCATTTTCCACATTATTCCCTTTTTATCTGAGAAAAGATCATATTTGGATAGAGTTGCTTGTTGGACAGATATTCAGTGGCTGGAAAAGTATTCACACCCTTACCACTTTTCTTTCACACAGTTCAATTCATTTTTGTTTATTTTGTAGCACAATACAAACATTAAAGTTAAGATTGATCCAATCAAATGATGGTTTGCAGTAAATAAAGATATATTTGACTTATTGGATGAAATCAATATTCAACTAGTACCGGTAAATTAAATTAGATTTTTAATGCTAGTTGTGGAAGTCAAATGAACTGGAAATCTTATGTACAAAGCAAAGTCTCAAAAAGCATTACCATCCTCAAAAGAGCGAGAGGTTTTTTATACAACAAAGCCCTCCATATATTATATAGTTTTCTCTTAGTTTACACATTACGTTGAGATTTTGGGAAACAACAGTAAAACATTTGTTTCACAACAAAAACAAGATCCGTCCATAGAGTCAGTTATTAAAATCATACCAATTCTCTATTCAAATTTCCAGGTCTTATAGATTTTCAACCATTTCAATTAGTTTTCAAAGCTAAAATAAAGTTCTTACCTTATATTAAAAAAAAAATTTAGTTGAAAGGAAAGGAATACAAATGTGATATAAACGTAACTTTAAGTGTGTGGGTGTGAGGACAACAAGAAAAACATGTTTAAAGAGAAATATGAGGAAATTATTTTCTTTTATGTAAGGAAGTATAAAGAAATTATATTTCCTTAAATCATAGGAGTGATGAAACCAGCTTTTATGAATAAACAAGGTGCATTGTTTGGAATTTTAGAATTTGTAAATACTTTTGGAACTCCTTTTTGAGCATGAACTTTAAATTATGATAACAATATGTAATAATGTATTAAATTACAATCTTGTTTTCAAGAGCCTTGTGTCTGGAAAAAACCTCCTGCTCCAAATTCTCTCTTTCATTGTCTTTTGTTTTTGCTTGTTTGAAATAAAATGAACTAAACTGGAAAAAAAAACGTAATCGAATTTTGTGTGAAAAATCAGCATAGAGTAGTTAACAGCTAAAATTGAAGGATAATGATCTATAATTATACAGCTTTTCACAAGTAAAAATGGAATCCGATGTGGATTTGTCACATCAGATATAACAAATCATAGCCAATGTTAGATTTTAAAGCAGTTAGGTGAGGAAACTACATCCCAGGCTTGGAAGATCTCAGACAAGACTGAACTGCCCTGTCTAAGGAGAGCATTCATCATGGTAACTCTGGAGGAGCTGCTGAGATCCACAGATGGAAAAAACCTGTTCACAGGACAACTATTCATCGTACACAAATCTAAGCTCTACCAAAGAGTTGAAAGAAAGAAGTTTGCTTTGCAGTGAGAGAAATAGCCAAAGTACATTAGATCAAGCCTGAGAAGGCATTTTAGTTTTTGCATTTCTAACATTGTGAAAGTCTATAGGAAAGGGCATGTTTGACATAAAGCTTGGTTCAGTTCTAATTGGAGAACCCAAAAAAACTACAGTTAATGGTAACTGTTCAAACAGTATGTAGAAATTATTATATCAGTGTTTTAAATAAACATAGAAAAAAATCTACAAAAAAAAAACATGGAAAACGTAGGGTGATCACACACAAAGCTTTCACATGGCTCTCATGAAATTCATTATATGATATTGTATAAAATAAATGCAAAAGTGATCATTATATAAGCCTTATATTATGTGCAATATATGAAACATAAAGTGAAGTTGGCCGAATGTCTCTTTTTTTAATTGTTGTTTTTATTTCTTTTCCATCTGGGTATATTCATACTCTGGTGTTTTGTGTCAGTGAAGGTCTTGAATGATCAAGCAGCTGGTCAGCAAGACTCAGCTGAAGCTCTGCTTTCTGAAGACGGAGACAGAATATTTAGCAAAGGGGAGGAAAAACATTCTTGCAAAATTCAAAGTTTGCATGCCTCAGAGCAATTCACTGTCTGCATGAAAGTGTGGTACAGAGACAGCACTGCAGGAAGCCATCAGCGTCTGCTGAGCGGTCGGGATCGCAGAGAGGACTGTCAAAGGCCCCCCTCTGATCACTACCAGGCATCTTTCTCAAGAGACGACTGTAGATCCAGCCTCATTCTCCATCCAGCAGCGTGTCTGCACACTCTGACTGAAAAACCCATCCTATTTCAAAACAATCTGTTACTACCTCCAAACATCAGCATAAAAAATATAGATATTAAACACTCCCGAGTGCGTATGAGATGATGCATTAATTAATATATTAATTAACTGTTTATAAGCTATTACCAGACTGGAACAATTGTTTAGAACCAGATATTAAACGGAACAAACTGTACAGTGGCATATTAGCTATACGGTAAATGATAATTTTCAAAAAAAGAAAAGAGAAGAAAAGTGGAAAGGAATGACTATACAGACAAGTTAGTAAAATAGAACATGGCTGCATATTAGTGTAGGCATAAAAGAATAAAAAATTGTATTGAAAAAGATTTTAAAAATATGCAATGAGTCCCTTTTGATATGGCTTACATTTCTATTGAGCTGTTAAATTAACAATATGATTATTGAGTTTGCATCCACCGTTTAATTGAAGAAAAAAAATGGTCACAGAAATAACATGAATCTGACAAAAGTTGTTATAAATGAATTCTATTAAAATGAACAAAGGAAAGTTTTTTGAAAGAAATTGCTTCTCAAAATTATAAAAAAAAATATATAATAATAAATTCATGAAACAGGCTTGGACAACAATTGGTACCCCTAGAATAGATGGAACATTATGTATAAATCATGGTGTTTCCACTAATATATAGGGGCCATTGAGGACCTTTGAAAAGCAGTTAAATCTGAAAAAATTACACAAAGAGAAAGGACAATTAGGAGAAATTTATTGATATATTACTTATTACTGTCTTTGGCACTCAACCTTGGCAGGAAACACAGCACTGAATTTTGATAGATATGCATGAACAGGAGCAAAGAATATGGCTGTTTCCCCCCCAACTGGTTGTGGAGTGGAGATAGATGAAGTTGGTCAGTCTGTAGACTGCTGGTTAGCGAGACGGTCTGCTGAGCTTTATGGGGAGATCCAGTGGACTGCGTGAGCTGATACTAGAGCTTCACTCAGAGACCTGGAAGATGGAAATCCAGTTTGGATAACACAGGTTGAGAGAACCTGTCCATGATGAGCAAACATGAAGCAACAGGGGAGAGGAAAAACTCCCCGTTGGGAAGAAACCTCTGGCAGAACCAGGCTCAACATGGCGGTCTTCTGCTGGACTGGTTGAGATGACACAGGGAACGCAGTAAGAGTCCAGGAGGAATGACACTCTGATGAAGCTTTAGCTACGAAGGTGGAGGAGGAGCTGGAGGTGGGTTGAAACGGTGTCATCTGAATGAAGTTACACAGCGCAACCACCGCCTGCGCACAGGAGCAGACAGTGTGGATCAGAGGCCTTTTAAGATTAACTTTGGATGCTGACTGGCTTTTTATGGAGGTGTGGTTCAAAGCTGATTGGCTGTGTTGCAGGTGGATGTAGGAGAGCAATTAGTTTCTTCAGTTGAACTTCCACCTAGGCTCTGTTGTAGCAAAATGTTTACACACAGGGGTGGACATTTCCACTTCCTGAGGGCCGTATCCTGCAACTTTTAGATTCATCCTTAGTCCAACACTCCTGAATCAAATGGCTGAGTTACCTCCTTAGCAATCAGTCAGTTCCGCTCTATCATCTAAATACTCGATTCAGGTGTGTTGAACCAAAGGCACGTCTAAAAAGTGAATGGTGACCAAATGGTACCCATGCTGACATGTCTGGAGCTGTTGTTTGGAAAGCTAAACAAACCTTTTTTTTTACTTAAACACTAGTATAACATCAACAATTATGTGCTTCTCTCATATGCTATGCAAAATATGAGCAGAGTTAAATGTCTGCCAGCTACTAGCTCCATTATCTTCATGAGTCAAGCTTAACTAAAGAGGCCAGGTGGTATTTAACTTAACTATTCCTTATGAACAAACACCCAAGGTTAAAAAGGAATCACCTAAAAGTTTTAGATTTCCGATTAAGGCAAATAATTTAAGAGCATATTATTTCAACAAATAATGTTACGGATTAGCATTGTGAGTTGATGTGAACACCTTTCAGTTGCTCTAAATTAGTTAAAAGCTTAATTAAATCCAAACTCTTCAAAATAAACTTTGATTCTCAAACATTAAATCCATAAATGTGATATCATTGCATTAATTTGTTTAGTTTTAACCTTTTAATTCCCATTCCTGTGTATATAATGCTTAGTTGAGTTTCACTAGTTTATTTAGTTTTTAAATAAAATAGGTCTGACTTTGACCTAAATGATTTTTGTTAAAACATCTTATACTTAACAGAAGTTGGGATTTTATTTTGTGTGTTTAGATTTAACTATTTGACCATATTGTGAGCTCAATTGATTTTAATTGTAATTACTTTTGTAATTATTTTTATAAGTATTACCTTCAACAGAAAGGCTTATGATCCCAGAAGCACAGGCAAGTTATTTTTTGTAACAGGGTGAACTGACAGGCTTTTGCACTCTTTATTTATTGTTCACATGAAATTAAAGGTCATCTCAAAATTTCAACTGTTTGCGCGTGCAATTTATTTATTTATTTATTTTTTAGCTCAAGCAGTTCAGGCCTCAAGATTCAAACCTAGTGATAATGATGATGTGAGGAAGTGCTGCAGCTTTGAGACCTCTATAGTTTATTGTAATTCATAATTCCCACCTAGTGGCTTTAATCTTGAAACTCATTAAATAAAACTGTTGGATTTAAATCAGATTAGGTCATTTTTAAACATGGCAACATTTAAGATAAAATAAAAATAAAAAATAGACCTAAACAGCAAGTTTGATATGGACGGCATTTTTGCCACCTGAATAAACATATTTAAAAAAAAAACCTTTCCCTATGCTCTGGTTATTTTTGCCGATTTAAATGTTTTTCTGATCAAAGAACCAGAGAAAAAAAAAAGGTAAAGTACTTCCTTCATGGCTTCCTTTAATTAGAAGCTAATATAATCTCTAATCAGACCTGAGCTGTTATTCAGGGTGTCGGAATGAATTATAAACTGATCAATATTGTACATTTTGACTCGTCAACTAAATAATAAACTCCAATTAAAACAGCTGAAAATGCTCATCTGGAATATGTAACACCTGAATAAAACTTAAGGACACAACACATTGCACCAGCTGTGTAGTGAAATATTTAATTTAAAATAATCTGACATGTTCTATAAAAGGAAAAAAACAAAAACAAAACAGTCAATATGTTTCTTTTTCGCAGTCCTTTGCTTGCAGTTCCACATAACAAGCAGTCAGAGTTTCTGCAGGAAGCGGAGCACCAAGTCTCTGAGCGTGGCCCGCAGCGGCTCGTTGTTATCACAGACGATGTGCGTCCCGTCCTCCTCCAGCTGAATCAGGGTGTCTTCAGCCTGCAGGTGCAGAATGTGTCCGTCTGCCGTCTCCTCCACTTTGACCTCTGTAATGCCGTGCTGCTTGTCCAACGAGAATTTAAATGAAAACAGAGCTCAGATCATTAAAAACAGAACATTTGTATGGGAAAACATTCTCAGACCTTCTGCAGTGTGGCAAGGAAAGCTTCCAGGGGTACAGCTCCACTCAGCAGGGGTTTATGGGCCAGCGTCACAGGGGGCTCCTCTATCACCCGCTTCCTCTTTTTGCTCGGGGGGGCAGGAGGCGGTTTGGGCACCGACTGGCAGGGAACCCAAAAAACAAAACAAAACATAAGCGGACTCCAGGGACACCACACCTTTGCAGCGGTTCCTGGGAACTCACCTGCAGTGTGTGCTTATTGTCCTTCGACTGCAGCACCGCTGACACGGTTGCCACGGAGATGCCGGGTTTGACCTCAGAAGGCACCAGTGAGTTGGCGAGCTATAAGAGGAAAAATTGGAGTTCCAGGAATTAAAACTGGTTGCCTGTCAGAAAAGGCATAGATGCATTTGAATATTTAACTGTGACAGCTTCCATCCACCGCGGTTACCTCTGGCAGGATGTAGACCCGCTCATAGCGCCGCCTAAAGGGCAGATTGAGTACGGAGCAGCGTCTGTACGGCATGGGAGGAGGCTGGAGCTCCAGCATCAGATCAGCACGGTGGGACTGCGTTACAGGAGGCTGGGTGTACTGCTCTGGACACACCACATGGAGGGGCTGCAGGAGGGACATTTAACGTTTTAACACATATTTCCATTTATTTAACGCAAATTTGTCATGACAGACCAGAGCAAAGTAGCACTATATGTGATTCCATGCGACTTTTTTTTTGTTTTAACTTTTGACATGTCGGGCTGTATTTTTCTATATCTATAGAAGACTACCACTTTCTAAAATGTATAGGTTAACCTCAAGGCTGGATATTAGGCCCCGCTTTGTTTTCACTAAACATGCTGTATTTGGGATTGGAAACAGCATAAATAAAATAAAACATTTCCTTTCCTTGTTATCCAGGTGATATCCTGTTCCTTTTACATCCAATGGCTCTGCCCCAATGCAGCCTTTGCTTACCTCAAATAAATATAAAAGACTGGAGGAAACAAAACTGCTATACTAAACAATAAACAGGCTGAAATCATTACATTTAGAGGTTTAACCCCCCCGATTAACCCAGCTTATTTTTTTGTCCTCTTACTCCTCACTCTTCCACCTCAGGCAGACATCCTGGATAGCTTCTAAGACAGGTCTAAGGAAGTAAAAAAAAAAAAAATCCCATAAATCTTGTAAATGGGGGAATGATTTCAGCAGCAGACCTGGACTTCCTTCAGGAGCTTAGAAACTTGATGGAAGTTGAGCCTGGTATCAATAGGGCAGTAAACACATTTCATGGCTAGCGGCTGGTAAGGAGCCAGGGCATCCAGGTAGGAGAAATCTGGCTCTGAAAGAAAAAAAAACATAATGCAGGGGATTAAGATTAGAGTTGGACTAGTTAACATGGTTCTTTATTACCAGCTTGAGATGTTTTATATAAGAACTGCTTCCAGCTAAAAACAGGGCTGTGTTCAGGACTTTAGGCCCCGTCCACACGAAGTCAAAACGAACACGAAACGCTAATATTTTCCAGAACGTTTGTTGTAAAGACGGAGACGTAAAATAAATGTGATCGTCCACACGAATGCATGAAAACGCTGCAAAATGTATGCCAGGCCTGTAAGTGGCGCTGTGGTGCCAAAGCAAAAATAGGCGAAAACAGGCAACGAAATGTTGGGCATGCGCAGTAATATTTATACAACAACCAAACCGGAAAACCGGAAAATGGCCCTGCGGGTCCATTTTCGTGGTTCAGTCAAATTGAGGTGATGAACTATGTCGTCTATATTGCTCTGTTCTTCCTGGAGATATTCCAGAAGCAGAAGATTCTGTTGTAAGCCCGACAGCAGGGTGAGTAGCATGAGCAGCAACCATTCAACACAGTACGGCGCCATTGTTGTTGTGATACTGTGTCGCACATGCGTGTTTAGAGGCGACGCTATGACGCATGCGTGTAAGAAAAAAAATGCGGTTAGAGCTTAAAGATGGAAACGCAAAAACGGAATTTCAAAATCTTCCCACTCTGAAGGCTGAATAATTTGTGCGTTTAGGCCAGGGTTTGGCTTCGTGTGGACGGGGCCCTAATCTCATGGGGTCTCAATGGTCCTAAGAAAGGAGAGAAATCAGCCCATAATTTTAGATTACGTCTCTCACATTGGACATGAACCTACAATGACAATTTAGACCCATCCATGATTTCTAAGTGGGAGAAGTTGCAAAATAGCAGGGTGTTCAAATACTTATTTCCTCAAAGTAAATCCCTCAATTGATCCTCAGCTTTCATTTAAAAGAGTTTATTCAGTTTATCCACAATGGACGTCCATTGTGGCAAGACTTTACTGTTATTAGTTCTGTTTACATCCAAATGAAATTAGAGTTTAAAAGGAACTTTTGAAAGTAAAAAAGCGAATTTGCAGGGTGAGTAGCATGAGCAGCAACCATTCAACACAGTACGGCGCCATTGTTGTTGTGATACTGTGTCGCGCATGCGTGTTTAGAGGCGACGCTATGACGCATGCGTGTAAGAAAAAAAATGAGGTTAGAGTTTAAAGATGAAAACGCGAAAACAGCGTTTCAAAATCTTCCCACTCTGAAGGCTTAATAAAAAAAAGATCGTTTACAGACCCCCGAAACGCCGGCTTTGTATGGATGAGAGGCTGGTTTGGTGAAAAATTTGTGCGTTTAGGCCAGGGTTTGACTTCGTATGGACGGGGCCTTAGCCAAACTATCCATCCCTACTCACTTCTTGCAGGTTCCCTCTGCAAGAACAGAAGTGTTGATTTAACATCTCTGCTATTAAAGGATTACGATAATTAACAAAACAGTCTGAACCGATAGACAGACTGCATGACAGACAGATTGGGTGCTAACCCTGCATCAAACTGTCCTTCATCCTCCATTCAGATACTGTTTAGTCTCTTAAATCACACAAATGTATGTCGGACATGCTGGTTTGGATAAACAAGAGCTGGTCAGGCCTCACTGTACTTTACAACTACCATCAGCATCCAGTTTAGTGTTGCTCGATGCACACTATGAGCCACCAACATGACCCGGATACAACCATTCAGACTTACAGTATCAACTCTTTGGTGGGGGAGGAATCTAGAACTACATAGTTAGTTAAAGCCTGTAACCCATAACCTAAAGTAAGCTCATGCACGAATGCTAGAAGACTTGTTCTCCTTCTCCTCCGCCTCTATTTGATCCCGGTTACCTGTAAAGATGACTGTATTGAGGCTGGATTTGCCCCACAGCTCCATGAAATGAACCACATCTCCGAAGCGGAGCGACGGGTGCCCGGTAAAAACCACGCAGGGCTGACGGAACTCGCTGCTGAAGTCGCCGTGGATGCTGGGGTAGTGCTTCAGCTTGTTGGTCTGGATCAGCTGGAAGATCAGCGGCACAGGAGGAAAATCAGCATCAACATTTTCCTCCATAAATAACCTTAAATGCATTAAATGAATCATGAAGTAAAATATTTGTTCATACCTAGAGGGACATTAAAGATATTTATAACTTTATTGTTTTTAAAGACTTTTTTTGGATGTTGATAACTGCAGGCAGGAAGTTCTAGGTCTGTTCTAGAGTTCATACAGCAGACCTATTAAAGATATGCAGCATCTTCCTGCAAACACTAAATTATTTTCTATTAAGATCTGCTCCTCTTGTAGACAGCTTCACAACTGCTTCTTGAGTCCAGTCTGTTGTCCATGTGAACACAGAGGTATTTATACTGCTTTACCTCCACTGAGTCTTAGAACAAGATGTTTACTTTATTCAAGTTCTTAAAAAAGGAAGATCAACTCTAACCAATTTTAAATTTTGTTTCAATTTGATTAATTTGGATGAACCTCTCATTCTCGGTGCCTGGTTTTAACTCAGACATGTCAAAAAGGTCTTCTGTGAATGTTCAGCAAGCTCTGCCCCGGTGGCAACCCAGGCGTCTAGATCAGGAGTCTGCAACCTGTGACTCTTGGTTTTTTCAGAGTGTCTCTTAACTTTGAATAAAACTACCGTAATAAAGAACAAACCAATACTTTTTAATACGGGTATAATGTTTCAAGATTCATCATTAAATACTTGAATTAAATTTCCACAGTAGAACGATACCAAAAGTACCAGTAATATCTGTCCTAGGATCGATTTTATGTTTGTTTGGTTGGAAACCTTGTCCTTTTTTAACATAGTTCCCATAATGGATATTTGTATTTTAAAACAAACCTTAAGATAAAATTGTGTCTCTTTAGAAATAAAAAGTTTCCCACAGTGGATATTTAAAAAGAAATTACGTCTTTTTTAAAGCATCATGTAACATTAGTGTCTCTAAACTTGGCTTGACTTGAGCCAAGGTGGCTTTTTGCAGACCACTGGTCTGGATCAGTGCAGAAAAAGGACACCTCTTAAAGGAGAGCAGAACTCAAAGACTTTTTCACTGAATTTTTCTGTTAAATCTCTTATCATAGAAAGCTGTTCCTTGGCTGCAGCATTCTGGTAGCTGAGACTTTTCCTTTAAATTGAATTACTAAGAACAAGACAATCATTTCAACAAACATGCTCCCATCGTCGTGATCAGTCTAACTGACAGACGGATGTCGGCTGAACTCCTTCACAGCTTCAACGGCGCTGCTGATGAGTTTACATGTGGAAAACCTTTATTGTAGTTAATGAGGCTTGTTGAAATAAAACATTCAACATCTGATGACCGTGCAGTGATCTTTTACTGCAAAAAAAACAACTTTAATTTGTAAAATCCCTGCATTCCTGTGTTTCCACATTGGTATAGTCATATGGTAAAAGGAACAAATTAATTCATTTCCCTGTGCTGCCAAGACTTCTGTTAAAAACAAGAAAAGTTATTACACCCACGTCTTAAACTGAGCATTAAAGCTCCCAGAGCAGCAGGACCTACCTCTGCATGTGGGAAAGGAGGCTCAGGAAGATACACCTTAGTTTGCTTATTATGACAAAGCCTGAAGGTATAAAAGAACAGATGAAATCATTAGTTGGATAAAAAGGAAGGAGATGAAGTAAATGAAAGAAATGTTAAAGCAGTAGAGAGAAAGAAGTGCTGACCACTCAGCAAAGATCTGAGAGAACTCCAGCGAACTGTTGGCTACAGGTGAGATGAAGTAAAAGGGCGTGGTTCCCAGGTTGGCGCTCTCAATGAATTGGTACAGGCACTCCAGCAGGTCGTATATCACTCCAGAGGAGTAGCAGGGGACCAGAACGTTGCCTCCTGCCCGGATCGTCATGGCTGCAGGGCCACATAGATTAAGTCAATTAAGTCAATGATCTAAATCTAAGAAGACAAGCGAGTTGTTTGTTTCTGAGATTTGAACCCACCCAAGTTGCTGCAGAATTCTCCCAGCATGCCGTCTGGGTTGGCAGTGGGCATCTGTGTGAGGCCGGTCAGAATCAGAACGTCGCTGTTCTTCAAGGAGCTCTGGTCCATCGGCTGAGAGGAGAAACAAGAGGAGCATCCGATGAGGCGAAAAGTGATTCAGGATGTTTAGCTTCTAATATTTAGCGCAGCTTCTCCTTAAACACTGACCTGCGGGTGCGTGGTGAGGAGGGAAGAACCCGACACGTAGGACACCTTCTCATGATGCGACTGGATGATCCAGTTGGAGCTGCCCAATGAGTAGCCGGAGCTTAAGGGGGAGACCTGCACAGCTCCAAACAACTCCTGAAGGACAGTTAAGAGTTTTAGAACCAAAAAGAACTTGAGCATGAAACTTCTTCTGTGTTTAAAACATATTAACACAAAATCAGAAGCTTTAAAAGAACCAAAATTAATGGATTCTGGTGCATAAATACAGAAAGATAACTATTTAGATTATATCAAACTGTATCCTAACAGCCTAATAACCAACGCCTAACCAGTATTTCTACAGCAGTCTGCTACTGTGGGGCTACTATCTGCTAAATTTCAGAAAGAAGCAGATGAAAATCTAAATCTGTTTAAAAAAAAATAAGTAGCTGAGCATTTGCCTGAGTAGAAACCACAGGAAAGCAGATCTTACCACTTTCTGGGAGTAGCCAACAAGCTGCACCTTGCTGAGGGCTGAGTTGACCTCCTGCATGCTGTAGCACCGTTTCCACGTCCGCACGTCCACGGCATCCTTCAGCGACCCAGGAAGCAACCTGGTGTTCAAGAACATCATTGGTAAGCATCATGCAAGGTTTGGTGAATTAAAGTGGACCTTTAGAAACATATTTACTAAGAAAATTGTTCAAGTGTTCAGTTTCCCCACCTGCTTTAAAGACTAATCAGGGTGTAAAAGGGTTTAAATTAGTTCCTCATCTGTGACTAATTTTTAGTATTATCCTCTAAAGAATAAACCATGGGTTAAAAGTAAATAAAAAGTAAATAAAATAGGAATATAATAGGAAGGCTGCAGAAGAGAAGAATTAAAATCCATCCTTTAATGGTGAAAAACAGGGAACCTGTTTTGCTAAGAGCGGTCGACTAAACACTGAAGGCTCTCTTCAGCTTCTCTCTAGCGCTCTATAAAAGGCTAAACAAGCAGGTTCTGCTGCATTTTGATCTAAATATGTCCCACTTTCATTAAGAGCCTTATAAGTAAAAACTTGTTTCCTTTAAGGTCTTCCTCCTTTATTTTATTATTTATTTTGCATTTAACTGACCTCTGTATTTCCTTGTTCTTCCAGCAGGTGGCAGACTGAGCTTTAGGAACCCTCTCCATGAAGTTCACCAGCTCCTCCATCAGCAATCTAAGGAAACATTCAACCATCAGTGCTTTAAATCAAACATTGGTTTATTGATTCTTCACATGTGAGATAATAAAGGATTTTATTGTAGAATCTGAAATCAACAACATATTAAAAAAATTAATTAGTTGTAATAATTTTGTACTTGAGAAACCCTCAGCTTTTTTAAATCATAAAGAACTGAGGATTATGTAAAAATTACAGGGGATAGGTGCATCGTTTACACTTTCCACCTTAATTTTTTTTAAGGTTTAGATTTATCCTTCACTGACTGAACCTCATTCATAAATGACTGCCTTTAGTTATGTTGCTCTTCTGCGTTCCTATCCCCCAAAGATCACAACCGCCTGCCCCACTGTGTACCTTCCAATCTGCAGAGTGGGCTCCGTGGCGTACACCGTCCCTGTGAAGCCAGTGTGTTCTGTGATGTAGGGCAAGGCCATCATACAGTGGTAGTTGGAGATGAGGATGACATCGATGGTGGAGAGGTCCAGCAGCTCCCTCTGTGATCAACCAGGTGGAGGGGAACCAAAGAAGAGTTAGTGGTTTGGTTTCACCAAACCAAGATAAGGGATTAAATCAGATTTTTCCATATATGCTGGGTTCGTTAAGAGACGTCACCACAATGTACTTCATAACCTTCCCTGATGACAGAAGAATGAACTACATCTAGGAGGGATTCTACAATCTTGCAACTAACATGACCAGCTAACCACAGAAACATTAAGATATATCACCCCTCTAGAGTGTATAAAAGGATTTACATACATTTATTAAGTGGAGTTCATTATCTGATCCCTTCAGAAATAAGCCTCCCTTTGTTAAATTAAAGGGACAGATTTTCTGCTGATGTAAATTTAGGAAAAAATTGAATGTTTTAACAAAAGAAGAGAAAAATATCTGCTTTGCAATAAATGTTTTACAGCTAGATTGAATTGAAGGTAAAGACTACATGGCAGAGACTGAATGCCAAGACAGAAATCTAATGCAGATCTATCAACTGTTAGATCTGCACATGATATGCTGAATCAAAACTATTTAATTTGAGGTTAATAGTTTTTTTTTTTTTTTTCTGAGAATCAGTGGAAAGAAAATTTGTATTTTAGCCTTTTTAAGCCTTAAGTCAACCCACTTTTTTGCTGAATCAATGAATCTGTGATCAAGTTGATGGTCAATTGAAAAAAACTGCAGACCTGCATTTAATTAATTACAAACATCTAGTTGAATGTAGCCACAGCTGTGCAGCTTCACAAAAGCTTATTTCAGAACTTCAAGGAGAAGAGATAAAGCCAGAGTCACTCTAGGGTGATGAGTGCATACTTAGAAAGGGCACATCTTCTGACAATCCTCAGGGTTAAGCTACTCACCTCAGGGAGGCAGAATTCTGGTTGGGAGTCCACAAATACTCTTCCAGCGCATTCTTTCAGCTCCTGACAGGATGGAGAGGGCAGTGATTAGTCTACATGTGTTATTGTGAGGCACGGAAAATGAATTAATATTACAATATACCATTTATAACATTTATTGAGAGAGAGCAATTTAATTCCAGGCAACGTCTCCAGTCCACAACTCTGGCAGTTGTAAACAATTTGCCATTTGTGAGTGGATCATGAATCTCCTTTTACCTTTTCCAGGTTTATGGTACCATCCTTCGAGATCCAGCCTGGGAGCTTAGAGAGTCTTGGACTGATTAGACACAAAAATCTAAATGATATTATCAAGACAGAACAACAAACCATCTAAATATCAAACCATATGAATACAATAATCTGACCTGTGCACCAGAGGAAGAGGGAGAAAGTTTAGGACAGACGTTGTGTCCAGTCCACAGTCCAGCATGATGGTGGTGGACTTGAATTTGAGGACATTGCAGGGCAGCGTTGGGTGGCCAGACAAACAGTACTGCACATAAACACATAATACTTTAAAAGTGTGTGCTTAGGCTATAATACAATGACCAAAGCCTATATATATCCCAGCTACAGTAAGAAGCATCCTACCACTAGGTTTCACTGGATCGAGCAGCACGCAGAGCTCAATTTAACTACCGTCTTTGAGCATGTTGTTAGCTGCTTCTCCACCATAAAGGATAAATTAGCATCTAAAGCTACTTTCTAACACTGTTTTTTCAGCACCCTAAACTTTCTGGAATCACTATGACACCCAGTATATTGCTCATCACATATCATTGTAATATTTATTTTATTTACTCACCAGCTTCATTTTACCAGCGGTTATAACTGAAAATACGACCAACATTAGCCTTCGTGGCTAACCTGCTAATATTTTGTATTACATTGTTCTGACACCAATCGGTTCATTTTTCTGACTGGTGTTCTCTCTCGCCCCCTACAGGAAGGGAGTGTAACTACACCACGGGTCTAACAGGAAACCATGTTCTAAAATAATTATTACGATCATAGTGCGCAGCGTTATTCTATTCGCTGCCTAAAATTATATATATATATATATATATATATATATATATATATATATATATATATATATATATATATATATATATATATATATATATATATATATATATATATATATATATATATATATATATATATATATATATATATATATATATATATATATATATAAAGAAATGACATTGGTTTCACGTCAAAGCTTTACCCTTATGTCCCATCCATCGTAATTTATTTGACAAGAAACTAGTAAAAAAAAAAAAAAGATTGAAGACTTTTATTAGAAGTGATTAAACAAGTGTCCAGGCATCGGAATGTGTTGAATGTGCTGTTTTTTACAGAACTTTTTCGGGCCTGTCTTATTTTTTTCTTTGAAGTTTGTGGCTGGCAATGAGAAAGGAGGGGCAACATTATTGTTGCTGTATTGATGTCTACTCCTCAGCGATAAGCCGCTGTGTAACTTGTCTCAAACCACCGTCGGGCGGCGCGAGACAGCTTTCACACTTAAGTCGGATGTTATGCGTTTGCCTGTTGACAGACCCCTGCGTGTTTTATATACATAGACCTACCTGGTTGACCCTAGCGCCTGCAGTCAAACCAGTAAGGCATTGGAGTCCGGTGGAAAAAGAAGTGCCTCCCCACTCGTTTCGCCGGCAGCTAAATGATGCGGACCCACCGAGCCCTGTCTATTTACCACTGTAGCTTCGCCCTCAGCTCCTGGCTGTCAAAGTTGAACAGGTTTGGCCAGCCTCCGGGTGACTAACAGAGGGGCGTTATTATGACACACAGCTGATGAAGCAACACACAGAGACAACTATACTTTAATATAATTTGGGCTTTGTTGTTAGTCGATTGCTTTTCGTGATTTTGTAACAGCCGCTTTCTGCGGGAGGGGTTTAGTGGATAATAGTAACGGCGGTGGTGGATGTTTTCTAATGGGCGATTGCTGCAGATAGCGGTGAGGAGATTTCACCAGCGGGCAAAGAAAGGTAAGACAAGAGCAAAAAATAGATATTTATAGATGAACAGCTTCACAGTTTTGTTAAAGTTTTGCGTTGGAGCAGTTTTTGACTGTCTGGGCACGAAGTTAGTGAAAAAGAGCTGATTTTCTAATAAAAAACAGGAGCAAAAAATAAATAAAATAAAACAAACAAAAACAGCCTCTTAGATAATTCCAAACTTTTGTGCCAAAAATAATCCCAGTTTCTAGGACCAGTCGTTACCTAACCGCGGGGTCAGAGTACATAGCAGTCAGGTTATGTGTTCAGGTTTGCATTGAATCATCTTATCAATGTAATGTTTTTAAATTGATTTGAATATTTTCAATCATTACTAAGTTTATTAAACAATTTATGATGGAAATTTGCTGGTTACATTTCCAGAAATGTCTCAGTCAGGGTGACTTTCTGTAATAAAATAGTACCATAAATGAAAACAGACCCTCAGCATGACGGTTCCACCACCATGCTTGACATGCATCTCTTTTCTTCTACCATTAACATGTTTCTAACTAGTCTAAGAGTAACACGGCAGATCATTACACCTAAGGAACGAATTAGATTTAGATTGTATTTTGTCATTTTGTACACACAAGTGTAAACAAAAATTAATTTCTTTTAAGTATAGCTCTCTAGTTCATTTTTTAAAGTCCAGGTAAGCAGCAGTGATAAAAACTTTATTTAAAATTATTCAAAGCATCTGAGGATGACCTGATAATGGATGTCAGCTTCTCACCACATCTGTATCTTTTATCAGAACGGTGGCGGTACGCTCTGGGCTGTTTGGCCATGGGAAGCTCCTGCAGCAATCATCTGGGGATCCCTCCTGGGAAGGGCCCCTACCCTGTGGGCTGCACCGACTTCATGATGGACCACACAGCACAGGTGACGGCAACAAATCTATAGATGCAGACAGGGGCGGCTTTGTCTCTGTGTGTAGGTGTTTGATTTGAATAGTCATAAACAGATGAGCTGTATTTCTTTCCATTGAGCCGCAGCCAATCAGAGGCATAAGCAAATGAAAGTAATTCTTTTGTTGTTGATTAAAGTAAAGGTTAAACAGCGGATGAGTCAAATGTCAGCTGGAGGGACCCCCTGTTGCCTCCTGGGAGGAAAAACGTTTTAAATGGGCCCTTTTCCAATTTAAATGTTTGTTTTTAAAAAATCATGCGTCTGTTCTAACAGGGCAGCTTCTTCAGACTGTACTATCCCTGCCAGAAGATGGAGAAGGCAGAGAAGCCCGACTGGATCCCCAGCGTGGAGTATTTCTACGGCCTGGCCGACTTTATGAAAATCAACAGGAGTTTGAGTGAAAAGATTTTCAACTACTTGTTTGGTAAATATCTTCAGTCGCAAACATCCCCGTATGTGCACCGTTTGTGACGTCTTCATGAGATTCTTCCCATTTTTACTCACATTGTTTTGAAGCATCAAGCTCATTTAAATATCACAGATAACCCGTCCTGGCTCTCTGTAAAAAAGCTGTTATAAACCACATTCCTTTGAAAGGCTGACCTTGAATCATAACCGAGCACAGACACTTTTAATAGAACCTGTCTGACAACATGAAGTTGGCATGAATTATCTCCGCTCACATCGTGTCCTGACCTTAGAGAACAAACCAGCTGTAGATGTTCCTCAGCGTGTTTTGGTAAATTCAGATGTTTATTTGAATATTTACCTTTGATCTTTGTTTGCATTATGGAGCAGAAGTTTGTCATTTTAACACAGAAAAAAGCAGAAACAGCTTGTTTCAATTCTGCATTTTAATTCTACATTAAACCGAGTCCTGCTAGATGCAGTGGGACCACTGGAGTTACTGAGTCTGATTCTGATCTTCCATTTTCATCTCAGGCTCCTATAAGATCCCAGCCTCGGTGGATGCTCCGTTTAAATCCAACGAAAAATGTCCCGTGATTATTTTTTCCCACGGCCTCGGTGCCTTCAGGTACTCTCTCTGTGTGTAGATCTTTTTCCTCATTGCTGCAGGAGATGCTGTTAGCTGAAAGTTTCTCTATGTTCCAGGACTTTGTATTCGGCTATGTGTGCAGAAATGGCATCGCAAGGCTTCATCGTGGCGTCTGTCGAACACAGGTAACTCAATTTCAGTCTTCGAGTTGATCAGTGTTTTCAATCCGGCTGAATTTTGTCGCAGTAAGCTCCACCTGGATGTGACGAAAGCTGATTAAACCTGACAATAGGCATGGATCAGCTACTGGAATGAAGTTAGACCAAGGCTTAAAGAAAATCACACCTTTCTATTGTTCCACCTTAAACAGTTTGAAGTCTTTACACTGAGACCTGATCTGAGATCTGTAGGAGGAAGCTACATGCAATCACAGAGAGAATATCCGACAATATAGGGAGACTGCAGACTGGCAAACCAGTCATCAGTCCTAGCGGTGTTGCTCTTAATGAAGGACAATAAACCTAATGATCTGTGCAACGTAAAAAGGATAGTTTGTAGCTCAGATTTAAAATTGTCCCACTGTCACTGAGCCTCCTGCTGTGATAAGCAGCAACTAATGCATCGGAGTGTGTGTTTTCTTTAGACTATTTTAAAACTTCCCAGCACTGTCAGACCTCAACATCAGGACTATTTTATTGGCTGCCATCATGAATGAGGCGCTGAAGACAGTTGGTGCAAACAGAAATTAAATAAACGGCTCATCAACGCTACAGACAACGGCGGGAAGGTGAGACTTCAGCTCAGAATGAGCTCCAGAACGCCGTCTCCACTTCCCTCCGTTGTCTTTGCTCCAATTCAGAATGTGTGGCATGACTTAAAAAAATAAACAGCAATGTGGCTGAATAAAACACCTCTGCTGAGAAGAGTTGGCTAAAATCCCTCCATAGAGACCTTAGAAACTCATTGGCAGGCAATCAGAGCTCTGCTTTTACATTAAGCCACATTCATTTGGATTAGAAATCATTTGAAAACATCTTCCCACTAATTACTCTCTTTATTTTTCAGCTGTGATCTAAAATGTTTAACTCCATCGAAAGTATATTTTAGTAGATGTTTTTAATTGATATTTTTAGGGCAAAACTCTGGTATCTTTAAGCGTGTCATGCTTCCCCTCGCCTGCCTGGAGCCCAGGAATATAAAACCAGTTCGATTTGTCATTTTGAAGAAGCTGTAGTTGAATATTTGCCAAATGGGCAGCATCAGAGGGCAGCCCTCCCTCCTCCACTGTTTATTCATGGAGTCAGATTGGAAAGAGTGCGCAGACAATAGTCTGGACCAGGTCATCACATTTTCTTTTCAGCCTATAGACAAGAGGACAGTATGGAGATGAACAGAAAGCCAGCAGCTGCTCTGTAGCTCCCGTTGATTGAGGAACCAAGGCTGAATGTCGCTGGGTTAAAGCCACAGAGGGAGCACGTGGCTGCCGTGTCATGGCACACACATTGTCACAAGTCTGTGGCGTCGATCACTAGATGATGGTGATGAGGAGGCGGCAATATAGTTTCATCAGAAACCAAGTATAGAGAAAAAACAAAGCAGCAGCCTGAGCATGAAAACCTAGATCTCAAGTCAGATTTGTTTAACTCGGCCCAAACAGGATGTTGTAATAAGGCTCAGATCAAATGTTTTGGCTGCATAAAGGAAGTTAATATTATCTTAAATCTACATCTGAGAGTCATCTACTCTCTGACTCGTTAGTTTAAAACCTGGACTCTATTTACAGCTTAATGTGATTCAAAGGTACCAGAACAGCCGAGGAAATGCTTATAAAGTAGATTTAGTTTGTGTTTGTTTGGGTCAGTGGCATCACAAGAGGAACCTGATCAGTAAACACCCATGCTTGTCTGCTGGTGGAGCCAGCTGCCTGGATAGGGTCAACTGCCCATGAAATCTTTTGTTTTTTTTAAATACAGCTCACATTTATTTAATAAACACTAGAAAGGTACCAGAT